GCTGAGGTGGGTAGAGAAAGTGACTCCTGGGGTCAGAGGCCAAGAAACTAAGAGCCTTGGGTTTTGCTCCTTTCTTCCCCCACTAGGTGTCAAGCACAGGACTCTACATCCAATTGGTCCGTAATTGTTGACTAAATGTTGAACATGAGGCCAGGCACATGGGGACAGGGAGCAGGAATGGGGTTTAGAAATGGAGGTAGGGGGGAAGTAAGAAAGATTAAGAGCTGTCTCTAATGGTCTCTCACCCTGCTGGGTCTGCCTAGAATGCTGCCATTTGTGAGAAGTTACTGCTCTCTAATGGAGCAACCTGAAAAAGGCACAGTCGACTCAATTGCATTTACTGTTTGTTGAGCACTTACTGGGTTTGGAATGACAGGCTGGGTGCTAAAAATCCCTGGAGAAGCTGACAGTCTAGTTGGACAGAGGGTGTAACATATGCATTAAAATGTCAGGCAGCTTCTGCTAAGTGCCAAACACAAACATTAGCTTCGGTGAAGTGAATTCTGAGAGAGGTTTGCTGGAAGTTGTAGAGTCTCAGGAAGTCCTGCTTTAATTTGATGCGTAACTCACACTGAGGAGGACTCAAATTGGAAACTTGCACACTGAGAGAGTTGCATTGCTTTTTGGTAATTATCCCCTGCGCTCTCTTCCCTCCCTCTTCCTGAAATGTTCCCTAAACCATGCTGCATTAGAGTTTTCCAGAGAAATCGAATTGACAGGACACACACACACATACACACAGGTGGGGGCTTATTTCTTTATTTTAAGGACTTGCTCCTGCGATGTGGGGGGTGGCAAGTTCTAAAACCGTAGTGTAGGCTGGGAGGCTGGAAATTTCAATTAGAATTGATGTTGTCATCTTGAGCCCAAATTCTGCAGCCAGCAGACTAGAGGAGGCTCAGGTAGGTTTCTCTGTTGAAAACTTGAGAATTTCTTCTACCTTGAGGAATCTCAGTCTTTGCTCTTAAGGCCTTCAACTGACTGATGAGGCCCACCCACTTCAGGAAGAATAATCTACTTGGCTCAAAGTCTACTGACTTAAATCTTAGTCTCATCTAAAAAACACCTTCATAGGAACATCTGTACTGGTGTTTGACTAAACAACTGGGCACCACGGCCTAGCCAAGTTGACACATATAATTAACCTATAAGATAATCAACATTAAGGGAGTCTAAACCCATCCATTTCCTCTGTGGAATTTTCACTCTACGTAGAATATAATTTTTGTGTGCATTTCTTACCTGAACTCCTAGACTCTAGGCTTCTTGCTTGTAGAATCTTTTGTTGTTGTTGTTGTTGTTAGAAACATACATATTAAGAGCATGGATGTCATACTGCCTCTATAGCCACTGCACTGCCTTCCCCAGGCCCCCAAGTGCCAGTGAGTGAGAAGGGGGTGAGGATGGAAATAACAGCACAGGCTCTGGAAGCAGATATTCCTGAAGTCAAAGTCATTTTAAGCTGTTAGTTGAGTGCTCCAGCCTGTTTTCTCAAATACAAAATGAGAACAATCATGATTTATTTTTTTTGTTGTTGTTTATTTGAAGGTTATAGATTAGTTGGGAGGGGAGGTTCTATTTTTAATTCATTTTTATCCTGCCCCCAAACTTAGCAGAATGTACTGTGTTACACACTTCATGTGCATGAACCTGATCTTCAGAACAACCCACTGGGCTGCTACATTACTGTTATTATCTTTTTATAGGGAGCAAAGGGGCTCGGAAAGCCTCTTAGTCCATTTGGGCTGCTATAAGAAAATACCATAGCCAGGCACGGTGGCTCACACCTGTAATCCTAGCACTCTGGAAGGCTGAGGCGAGCGGATTGCTCCAGGTCAGGAGTTCGAAACCAGCCTGAGGAAGAGCAAGACTCCTGTCTCTACGAAAAATAGAAAGAAATTAATTGGCCAACTAATATATATAGAAAAAATTAGCCGGGCATGGTGGTGCATGCCTGTAGTCCCAGCCACTTGGCAGGCTGAGACAGAAGGATTGCTTGAGCCCAGGAGTTTGAGGTTGCTGTGAACTAGGCTGATGCCATGGCACTCTAGCCCAGACAACAGAGTGAGACTCTGTCTCAAAAAAAAAAAAAAAAAAAAAAAGAACTAACATTTCGAGAAAATACCATAGAATGGTTGCAATATAAACAACAGAAATTTATTTCTCATGGTGTGGAGGCTAGAAGCCCAAAATCCTATGGGAGCTCTCTGGGGTCTCCTTTATACTGGCACTGATCCCATCACAAGGGCTCCACTCTCATGACCTAATCACCTCCCAAGGTCCCACCTCTTAATACCATTATCTTGGAAGTGAGGATTTCAACATATGAATTCCAGGGAGACACAGTCTACAGCAGAGAGGGTAAGCCATGCACACACAGATACAGCTGGAAGTGGAGATGTGGGATTAGAGCCCAGGTTGGCCTGTTGCTCAGGCCCACATTCCCCCCCCCCCAAAGAATGTCCTGGCATTTCTTCCCTGATTCCCTCTGCCACCAAGGCTCTCCCTCCACCTGGGGCACCTGCTTCTCTCCCAGAGCCAGTTCTTGCCCCACTGTTTCTAAGAGGCCTAATGTGCTCTCCCCAAGGAAGAGCTGACCAGGGCCAGCCAGGACCCTGGACCAAGGAAGGGGTGGGATGGAAATTCAGCCTCTGTTCTCTGGCAATTGGTGAACCCTAGCTCCAAGCTGTGGCTAACCTCAGAAGGGACACCTTATTGTAACCCTAATACCCAGAGGGGTCATCCTTCACACAGGGACACCTGGAGGGGTTTGCTGGGCCCTGGCACTGACCATTCCTTCCTCCAAGCCCTGCCAGGAATGCTCATCTCTTGCCTCTGTCCACCAGTAGTGGCCCTCTGGCGTATGACCCATGTCTTAGGTGTTGTTGTGTACCCCTTGTCCAGCAGAGGGACTGGCACGCTCCTGCTTAAGGTCTGTTGAGCAAACTGATAGAAGGAAAAATGAAGGAAGGGAGGAGCCTGGGTATATTTCTTAGAGTTGGCAAGATTATTTCATTCTTTCCTTCATCCATACAACAAATATTTATTAAGCACCTACTACACAGCAATCACAGTATAGACAATGGGGGTACAAAGACACCTAAGATGTTCTGGTTCTGGCCCATAAAGAGGAAATCATGTATTATTTTCCACCACTTTATACAGAAAGGGAAAACAACAGCCTTACATCAAGCTGGTTCTTTGAAATACCCTACTACATTCCTGGGGTTCATGCTTCCAGGCTCCTAATTAATTACTGAACATACTTAAAACAGAAGAGTCTTTTTATGTGCACCAGGGGAAGGAATAAAAAATACTTGACATCCCTGGAACCTGGGAAGTCCAGATTTCAGAATGCCTTTTCCATTGCTGCATGCTTCCCATCTGTTCGTTTTTCCCAATCACCCACTGCACCCATCAGGATGGAGCCCAGAGCTCTCTTCTTTCCACAGCAACCGCCCCTCCCCACCAGTGCTGAAGGCTGCGCTAATTGCATTCTGGACAGTCAGGAGGAGCCTCACTGCTCATCTGTGAGAAGCAAAGTGAATTTGGATTATCTGGGAAGTTCCTAAGAACCTTGGTGCTTTGGACCTCCCAATGACTTGCATGAAATATTGCAATTGCCTGGCCTCTGTGGAATTCTGAAGTCACCAGCTATTAAAACCACAGCAAAGTACTCTTTAGATACTAAATGCATGATACCTGGTGTTGTTTTTCTTGGCCCATCAGCTTGTACACATTATATTGCACACGCCCACTTTAAGAGGCACCCAGTGCTCCCATCTCCGGTGCGTTAAGTGGAGAGAAGCCAGCTGAACTAAGGAAATAGGAGCACCAAATTAATGTGAGAGTCGTGTAAATGCTCAGCACTGCCAAAGGGAGCCCATAGTTTCTGTTAGTAAGTATAAATGGAAATTCCCTAATATGGATGAGATTGATTTACAATGTCAAAGGGATTTATGGTTTGTATTCCTAGCATTTGCTAATGGTAGGAGGATGTATAATTACTTAGCATCTTGGAAAAGTAGCTTCCCCAACATTTAGATATTGTCACATGGGACAATAGCAAAAGCAAGGGGTCACTGCAGTGACTAACATTTGATATGTGTGAAGCGCCTAGAATGGGTCTGGCATCTGGGTGGAGCCCAGAATCTGGCTAAAGGAGCATTTGAATATGGGGAACATGTGCTTCTCATAGCGCAAGGAGCTCATCAGAGTAATCCATCCCTCAAGTCACAAGGGCCTGGGAATCCATTCTGAATATTTCAAACAGTGAAGGTTTACACAGGTGGTGGAGGAGCTGAGACACCAAGCAAGGAACTGAGGTAACACAAAGGCTAGCGCAGCAAGAAGCCATTACCAGCCCTGGGCTGCCAGGACACAGGAAGGGGTCAGCTTTCTCTGAGCCCAGGGGGTCACCCAGCAGAAGGTGAGGCCACAGAGGACACACAGCCACTATCAGAAATGCCACCTGCAGAGCGGATGGGGAGAAACGCCCTGGCTTTTCTTCCACCTTCCACCAGTGCCAGATCCAGCTGCAAGCTGGGCCAGCAAGAGAGCCCGAGCTTTAGAGCTGACCCTCCCCCCGCCCCAGAGGGCAGAGCAGGGGAGAGGTGAAAAAGGGAGCTTGAGGGCAAATAAGCTCAGGCCCCAGCCGGCCCAGTGGGCTTCGGAGCCTTGGTGGTCCAGGTACCAAATGAAATGGTCTGGCCTGGGAGGTCTTCATTGGGGGTGATGCTTTGCTTCCAACATATTTCCTCCCTTCCTGGCCCTGTCCGCAAACTTCCCTATGCCTCTCTGCTTTCCAAGGGTTCCTGAGTTTTCCACTTAACGTGGGTCATTATCCTGTCTACAACTGTGAAAAGAGGAAAGGCTACAATGAGGATGCCGGTGAGCACACAGCTCCCCGGCTGGGCAAAACCGGAAGAGATGTCAAGTGACTCCGAGCGCGCATGCGCATGAGCATGCGCTCTGCCTTAGGTGGACGGAGACGTCTGACGGGCGGGGCCCCGGTGCTCTCGTGGTGAACTCGGACGTTGTGTGTGTTACCTGGGGAGGCCCCTTTCCAGGAGTCACCTGCATCCATACTTAAGTCTCTGCCTTCAAACTCATTCTCAACCCAGGGAAGGTAGAGACTAGAACATTCTTTAGGATTTTTTGCTAGCTCATTGGCTATTTTTCTTGAGAGTCCTCCTTCCTTGACCAGCCCTGTTAAACTTACTGTTTGCAAACTCCTCGTTACATTCTGTTATTGAAACTAACTCCGAACCTAATTTTAAGCTTTGTGCATACAGGGAAACAATAATAACGAAAGTAGTTTATTATCCCAACTGCGGCACATCCTGTTGATGGAATATAATTCAATCTTTAAAGTATTTATGCTGACATGGAAAAATGTGTTACAGTATAAATGGGAAAATAGCAGTATGCAAATGTATGTCAAACAAAGGAAGCAACAAACGAGCAAACAGCCTGGAAAACTGTGTAGAAGGGAATGAACTAAAATGTTGCCTTTTGGGGAGTGGTACTATGATTGATTTCCATGCAGAGAAACTAAGTTCACCCCAGAAATTCCTTGAGTTCAGGAATAGGCCGTCCTTATCTTTGTATCCTTCCTCCTTCCTCATCCCCAGAGTCTTGTAGGCACTCAGTGTGCAAGAGGCACATGGAGGGGGACTTCGTGTGTTTCTGAGACTGTACAACCAGCCTGGCGGAGACCAGCCCATCTTTTTTAATCTCCATCTGGTGTTCTTACCTGGCCACCTGCCGCCTGGGGCGAAGGCCACAGAGGCAGGAGTGAAGAAGGAATCATGTGCCCACACTAAAGCCACAGAACCCAGGGAGCAAGCCTCAAGGTCCAGTCAAGCAGGGCTAGTGACACCACCATGGGGATTTGGAAGAAACTAGAAGGCAATGCTGAGCAATTGCATATTGAAACTAAGCTGACAAGTTTAGAATCCCTTCTGTACCATGCACTTTGTTGAGGCTCTAATTCCATGGTCCTTTTTTAGAATGCTACATTCTTTGTCACTAATTTTCCCTAAGTGACTTGACTAATTGGTATGCTCAGGATGGGGAAGGCCTTGGATGAGCAGCAGGAGATTGTAGGGGTCTGAGAAAGGGTAGGCTGAGAGGGAGGGAAGGGTCTGGTAAGGGGAGGGGAGTGTGAAGATAGCTTTGGCTTCCTTCTTAACATCTATGGCCTCCACAGAATGCTCTGCCCAAACCCTGTTATATAAATCATGCCATGTGACATGGGCCAGCTCCTTCCCAAGTGCTGTTGGCTCGATCTCTTAAGGTCCAGACCTGGGATCTCCTAATTCTCATTCTCAGGTATTATTCAGCAAGAAAAAACTCACCTCCCATTGGAATTCTTAATTTGACAATTGCTCACCAATTTACTTAATATACTACAAAAAACAAACGAACGAACAAACAAATAAATACTTGACAAAGAGGTGTGTGTGGGTAGGAAGTCCTGTGATCTACACAAAGCACAGTTCTCCTCCACGCCCCCTTCCCACTCTGATTGGACTGGAGGGTCCATCAGTGCTCATTCCAGCCTCAGCACTTCTCCGGAGAACTGACTGCTTGAAAAGCTAAGTTGTTCTTTTAGAAGGGAGAATTAAATATGAAAGATTGAAAATCAAAACAAACTAAAAAAAAGGATGCAAACTCATTGTGAATTAGTTTAACCTATTGAATGTTTCACAGAAAATTTACCACTTTCTCCATGAATTTTACGTCCCTATGTTTGGACCATGGTAGATGTGTATGAGTTCCCTACAGGTGCCATCACAATAACTGTGACCTTGGTGGCTTAAAGCAACAGAAATTCATTCTCTCATGGTTCTGGAGGGCAAAAGTCCAAAATCAAGGGGTCAGCAGGGCCATGATCCCTCCTGAGGCTCTAGGCAGAATCTTTCATTGCTTTTCACAGCTCTGGTGGCTCTAGGTATTCCTTGGCTTGTGGTTGCATCACTCTGATCATTTCACGTGCCCTCCTTCTCTGTGTGAGTCTGTTGACACTCCTTCAGCCTCTCTCTTACAAGGATATATGTGATTGCATTTTGGGCCCACCTGGATAACATAGAATAAACTCCTCCCCTCAGGATCCTTGATTAATCATAGCTCTTGCCATATGAGGTACTGTTTACAGAATCCAGGATGAGTATATCAGGATATGTCTTTGGTGCCAGTGTTCATCCCACTACATTAGGTCATTCTCTTCTGTTTGTTTTATCACAGAACAAGCCTTTCTTCTGCACATAAAGTCTGTTGCTTTTTAAATTCCATGAGTTTTCAAGTTTTGCTTATATTCTTCCCCTTTCTGAACGACCTGAATAGAAACATGACTCACATTGACTTCTTCCTTTGTATTTAATCTTACATTATGAAAACAGGCTACTCTCTCTGATGCTCTAGCAATTTAACAGTGTTTCTGATCTTTTAAAAAACCAAAGGTCTGTATTTACCAGAATATACCCTCTAGATTCAAGCTGATGTTTCTAAAAGTCTAAGTAAATGGCTCTGTGGTTGGTACAATGGTGTAACCAGCAAGAAACTGGCCCCAATGCTCCTGAACTCACTTTGTCACCCAGGAACAAACTATGAGGTTGCCTGCAAAATTAGAGCTGATTCCCATATCTCCTGACTCCTACAGGTCTTTGAGAGACCCAGAGAAGTTCTCTGTGTGCTGTAGACGGTAAACATGCTGCCATGTTTTTCTCAATGTGTTTATTCCTTTTTCTGTTCCCTCAGGTCTATCTTCTTTTTAAAGTCATGGACACTTTCCCTCTTTACTCTAAAGGAGTAACTTCATTCTCCACCCTGACATATCTGGTTAAAATGAGATTGCATCTCTTTATATCATCTGGCCAAGTTGTACAAAAAGAAGAGTGTCTAATGGGTGTTCTTCAGTGAAGTTACTGTCTGTGGAATGCTTAGAGACCACAGGTTGTCATAAAAACAAAAGATAGTCTTAAAGAGGTTTCTCCTTTCCCTGAGGTCTATAGATTCAGAGGTGAGGTGGGGAAAGAGACGTTTCCCAGGTTCTTTCTAACACTCTTGAAATATGTTGTGTTCTGTTCCTTGAAAACCTGATATTTAAGAATTAGTTCTGGGAGGGTAGGGTTGATTTTTTTCTACTTTGTTTATTTTAGTGAGAAGGACATTAGTCAACTTATTGAACTTTCATTGGAAGAGAATGAAAATTTCTAGTGATTGATTGTAGAGTTAAATATTTTCTCAAGTTCTTTTTTTTCCCTTAAGGTAAGAATGGTAATATAATTATTTATACACTCTGAGTTTCCAATTGGATTAATTAAATAGTAGAAATTGTAGTCGCCAGGCCCAGGAAGAAATCTGTGCTCAGAGCAGCAACCTTAGCCCCAGCCCCTTCTCCACAGCTGTGCAAAGAAGCTGCACAGAGAACCACCCACCCTCACCTCCAGTTCTAGAATGTGAAGGTGAGATCACCACATTGTCCTAGTGATGGTCATTACTGGAGAGGTTGGGGACACTCATGCAGTGGCTCCAGGAACCTCCTTCCTCTTCATTGTCAAAATGGTGACAGTGCATAGCGACAAGCATTTCAGAGTTTTCGAGGAAGACCTACTTTTCATTTCCTCCAAGTTTCAAGAATTGGGGCACTTGTGGGAGCTACAGATGGGGTGAAGTTTGGCTCGTGGCACCAGCCAGAGTCAGGGCTGGGAAGGGATGGGGGAGGGTGCTAGAACCAGTGGTTTCCAGGGTTGGAGGAGACCTTGGGTGAGGGTATAGTGAGAGCCAGGGCTTTCCAGGTCTTTCCTGAGGCCTTTGGAGTAGCAGAGGCCATGAGGAGAGTGAGTAGGTGGGTGGCATTGGCAATGGTTAGGGAGCTTTCCAAGCTCCAGCTCTGGGTTCCAGGCCTGGTGTGACATCAACTAGCTGTGTGTCGTGACTGAGCTGCTTAACAGCTCTGAGCCTCTGTTTCTTCACAGGCATCTTGAAGAGATTGGACTCATGGTCATGAAGGTCTGTTCCAGTTCCAGCAAACAAACTACAAACAAGCAAAACAAACAGAGCCTTCCTTGTTTATTTTTTAAGAAAACATTTTGTAATTTCTATCCATCACAAGTGATTCCTCATTGTTTACCATTTTGTGCTCCTCTCAGTTCCCAAAATAGTGCTTTATAGTTTTGGAGATAAACAAATAGTTCAGTGGATTGGAGCATGGAGGATGCAGGAGGGCAGCTGACAGGAATGCAATGTTTCAGGGGCCCTGGTTATCTTCGGAACTTTTGTCATCTTGCAAAACTGAAACTCTGTACCCATGAAACAACAACTTTTCATACCCCTATTAAAGATAAACTTAGGCAGATTCAGATTTTAAAGAGCTTATTTGAGCAGAGAGTGAGTTATTAATTGGGCAGTACTGAAAGAGTCAAGAGGAAGACTTTTATAGAGTGAATGTAGAAGCAAGGGAAAGAAAATATAATAATATTTGATTGGTTAAAAATCAGTTTGGGTGGTATTGATATCTTAACAATATTAAGTCTTCCAATCCATGAATATGGGATATCTCTCCATTTATTTATGTCTTCTTTAATTTCTTTCAGCAATATTTTATGGTTTTCAGTGTATAAGTCTTTTCACCTTCCTGGTTTAAATAATTCCTAAGTATTTTATTCCTTTTTTCAATTTTTTAATATTTTATAAAATTCTTATTTTTAATTGACATAATAATTAATACATATTTATGGGATACAGTGTAACATTTCAATACCTGTGTACAATGTGTGATGATCAAATCAGGGTATTTAGTACATCCATCACCTCAAAACATTTATCATTTCTTTGTGTTGAGAACATTCAAAATTCACTCTTCTAGCTATTTAAAAATATATAATAAATTGTTGATTATTATAGCCACTCTACAGTGCTATAGAACACTGGACCTTATTCCTCATATCTAGCTGTAATTTTGTATCCGTTAGCTAACCTCTATCTCTTCCTCCCCCCTACCCATCCCAGTCTCTAGAAACCACTATTGTGCTTTCTACTTCTATGAGATCAACTTTTTTAGCTTCCACATATGAGTGAGAACGTGAGAAGGTTTCAAGAATATAACAATAATTAACTGTGTATACAAGGGTGGAAGGAAGATGAGGACTGAGAAAGGACCTTTCACATGAGCAACAAGGAGATCATGGTGACCTTTGACAGAGCATTTCTAGCATCATGGGTAAGGCCTCTGTTTGAGTGCAAGTGAGGTGAAAAAGCAAGTGGGTGATGGAAGTGCTTTAAACAACTCTAAAGTGCTGTATAAGGCGGTGTTGCTCTTTTACTGTTGCCGTGGAAACAGAAACCATTTAGGAGAAGTAAAAGCCACTTAAACCTCTGACTCTAGCCATCCTATCCACTTGATCTCTTGTGAAAGACGCTGATAAAAATCAGTCATTAGAAGGGCAGGGCAATTTCAAGTTTCTTCCTTTTAGAAGTGGTCTCTAGCTGGAAATCTTCCCCCTTCTTCTTGAGAAGAGAGCCAGCACCAACGTCCACACTGGATTCTATAAACACAAATGACCTGCTAACCCTTCATGACTTTCTTGCTATTGGCTGACACTGTTCATAAAATACAACTTGCTCTTTCACTTTTTTTTTTCTTAAATGACCAAACCGAAGGAGAAAGGAGGAAAGAGAGGAAGCAGAATCCAAGGCAGCTGAGAGACAAAGACGTTCAGGTGGGCATTTTTGTATTTGCTTTGTTAATTCATTATAGAGAATTGTGCCTTTATTATCACTGCATTGTCGGAGGTGTCATTTTTGAAAAGTAAATTCATTTTGTTCTACTGTTAATGTTTTTTCTATCATGATATGGTAGATGAGAAAATACTGAGGAAGTACAAAAATGTTGAAGGAAGCAAAAACTACAACCAAGCTAACCTCTACTGACATTTTTGGAAGGATTTTTCCCTTCCATTTTTTGAGTGTGCATTTGCACATGGTTTTTGCTTGATTTTCAAAGTTGTCCATATACTGTGGATAAGTTTATATCCACTTCTTCCATTATAGCCTCCATTTTTTTCCACATTGCTGTAGATTCTTCATAATAATAATTTAAAATTGCTGCATAATTTTGCATTGAACAGATTTACTTTACTTTACCCAAGCATTCCTCTATTTTTGGCCATATAGCATCTTTCCTATTTTTGCATAGATTGAGTCCTTTTATTATATAAGATTTTTTTTCCATTCAGGGTATTATTTTGAGGGGAAGAGGAGGTTACATGTGAGAATGTATATGTCAGCGGTTTTGCTCAAAGGTACCATGAGAGCGAAAGAACATGTGAGGTCATGAGTTTATAATCTGTCCATTACCTCTTTGGGACCTTGATCGGAGTTTCTTGATTCTGGCTGCACAGAGAGCCCGAATCGCCTGATTCTGAAGAGATTAAAAAATTACCCCTAAAATAATTGAAACTTTAATTTTTAGGGATTAGCCAGTCATTCATTCATTCATTCATTTATTTATTTATTTATTTATTTATTTATTTATTTATTTATTTATTTATTGCTGTTTTATTCTGTTTTCCAAAGACTTCCCTGGTGGTTCTAATGACTGAGGAGCATAAAACAGCTGCCCTAGGTCACTGGAAATATTTTCTTGCCTCTTGAGAGTGATGTGTGTTAACACAAAGGGAAGTGCAATTTCAGGCAAGCCACCCAAGTCTCCTTTTCAATATTGTATGCATAATGCAAATTATAGAGTAATTTGTGGGAAACATAAGACTTCTAGAAATTTCTAGCATCTGCCTCAACCACATAACCTCTTGAGATGAGAATCTACTTGAGAGTTTCAATTTACTAATGTTTTAAATAAATGGTTTTGTTTCCGGTGCTTTGGTGGTTAGTAGTTAGAGAAGTTAAGGCTTTGGTATGCTCTAAATATATCAAAATTAAGCCCAGTATCTGTTAGTACCTTCCAAGGCAGCCAGACTTCATTTCTTTTGCAAACTCTTCAAGAGCAAACACAAAGTGGACATTTAATAGCTGACCAGTCACAAACACACCATAAGATTAGCAAAGATGGATGGAATTGGATTTGGAGGCAGAAGGGGGCCTACCCTGGCTTTCCAGGAGCACCACAGATATGGCACTTACCTTCTCTGGACCCACGTTCTCATAAGGAAAGTGTACAGAGTTTATGCCAGGGCTGCAGTCTGGCTTCTGAGAACAGACCCAAAGCATCTAAACCAAGTGGAAGCATTCATTGCTGCATTCCTAGCCTAGGCAGGGATGTACTTTTCATTCGACCTAATTTGATCAGTAACATGTTAATCAAATCTCTTCTTGTTTTGACTCAATGGAGGAAAATAACCCTTTAGCACCTTATTTGGTGGGCTTAAATATTCATATCATACTTTACTGTTTAAGAAACACATCATTTCATTTGATGTGCACAATAGCCTTAAGCACTGGAGGGTATAATTCTTATTTTAAAGATGGTAAATATGAAGCCCAGAGAACATAGGGTCTTTCCAAGGTGGAACCAGAACTAGCCCAGTCTGGTTGAGCCCAGGGCCCCTTTCCTTACCACTTGAATAATGGCTATTATAAGAAATTGGTTGAACAAATTTTCTTATGTCTATATAATTGAATTACTCTTTAGCCACTTAAATGATGACATTGATGTTTATTAGTTGGTAAAGAAAGGTGACCATGACACAGTGATAAAAAAAAAAAAAGCAGGGTGCAAAACGGCATTATAATATACATCCATTTTTGTTTTAAAATATTTGTGTATTTGTATATGTTTGAAGAAAGATGAAAGGAAGCATATTCACAAAAATTTAGATATGTCTGGTTGGTGGTAAGTTTCATAATTTAAGTTTATTTCAGCTTATATTACCTTTTTTTTTTTATCACGAACATGCTTTCACTACTTGTGGAATAAAAATGTAAAGTAAGTTAAATAGAATTGTTCATGTCTTTCTGGTTGGCTCTTCTCCAAATGAAATGGTTCCAATTCCTTTCACTTGGCCACAGAAAGCCTCCTATTTAATTCTCCGAGTTTGTAAAATAATGTCACAGATCTTACTGTGACTGTTCTCCTAGTACTCACTGAGCACTTAGCATATGTCAGGCACCAAGCTAATCACTTCACATCCATTTTCTTCAGCAGTACTTACTCTAGTCCTCCCTTGGCAGAGGAGAGTTTTTAGCTGGAGTAAAAAAAGTGACCAAAAGGCAGACTTCAACCCAGGTCCCTTCTAACTCAAAAGCACATGCTTTTATTCATTTTATCATCCTGCCTTCCCATCCACCTGGGGGCATAAGAGGAAACCTCAGCACTAAGCAACCTCTGTTTTGGAGGAAAGATGGTACCTTTTTGTAATGTACTATGCGTATGAACTATGCATATGCGCACATAAGGACCACCTTGGGCATTGTTAGTGTCTCCTGTGTGTTCCAAACTCAAGGACTCTTGCTTTTCTAGTTTGGCCTGTGCACCAGACATCATGCTAGTCGCCCAAGGCTAAGGCTTTAAGACAAAAGCCTCAAAAGGGATTGTGCAGTTACCTAGGGAACTCTGGTTAATGAGGCAGCCCAGCTGGATACTGCAAAGGAAGGCAAACACTTTGCCACAGTTGCGCAGCTTGGCTAGAGATCCTTTTCAAGTCCATGTCAGAAATCCCTAGCACTGCATTCATTTATTTCTCAGGCACCAACTGCTACCTTCTTTGTGTTGGAGTTACTTATGTGCAGGTCTCGTCCTTCCTATTGGACCAAGAGTCTCTGTGGATGAAGTCCTTGCAGAAAACCTGGTACATGGACTCCATTTAGAATAGGTGGGAATATGTAAATAAATTAATTCATCAACGACTTTAGTTACAGCTTATGTTTATCTCTGTTGAACTTTAGTAACTTCTTTATGTTAATTGACCCCCGGAAAAAATGTAATCTTTGACAGTTATTAAAGGAAAGCCTCTCTGACTGGAGTGATGACTTGGTGTATAGTCAGACTCCTTTGACAAAGAAGTCTGGATATTACTTGAGGAGCCCATGATGTGAATCTGAGCAGGGAGCTAGAGCCAAAGAATCTCAAAATTGTGTCAAGGGAAAAGAACCTAAACACTGTAACATAATTTAAAGATGTTGTTCTGAGCTACCATGGCCTGGAGAGCCACACCCAAGAAGCCTTCAGCAAGTGATCTCTCCATGGTTGGGCTACAGTTTGGTTTTATACATTTCAGGGAGACAGGGATTACACATAAAGTCATAAATCGATATATGGAAGATGTACATTGGTTTGTCCCCAAAGAGCAAGACCTCGAGAAGCAGGGAATTACAGGTTATAGGTGGGTTTAAAGATTCTTTGCTTTGTTATTGGCTAAAGAAATGAAGTGTTGTCTACAGGCTTGCGATGCTTTAAGTTAAGTAAGTCTGTGTTAATCAGAGACAAATCACCAGACATATACTCAGACTCACGTGATCTATTATGTAAATGGATGACCTGCAGGTGTGTTTTAGGCTTTGTCTTGCACAGCCTTATGCCTGTTGATGAGTTACAAAGGATAATCTCCAACAAGGGAGGGGGGCTTGATGAGGAGCATCTGGGGTGTGTCTGACCTCCCGTCTCAGTACCTGCAGCTCAGCCTTAGGGTATATCTGGGGTCCCCTTGGCCAAGAGCAGGTCCACTCAGCTGCCTATGGGGGCTTAAAATTTTATTTTAGTTCACCATTGGAAGAGTCCTTAGGAAGACCAGGTGCAGACACAGAGCTTTGTGCGTCTTTAGTGTGAAGTCTTCAAGGGAAAGGTTTCAAAGAATTGGGACAAGCAGACTTGAGGAAGAACAAGAAGGAAGAGAGAAGGGTAGAGTAGGAGGGAGGGTAGCAGGAGAGAGGAGGGGAGGGGAGGTGGCCAGTTTACTCTGGAAGTTTAAAGATTAATTAATCTAGGAGAATTTTAAAAAATTAAATCCACCATTATTACCTCTATTGTACATTATAAAAATAAGATTTTTTTTAATCATGGAAAAAGAGTATTTCCCATACAAATATCCTCTCATGAGGCTGGAGAGCGTATTTTACCCCATTCATTGCACCACTAGGACAGAAAAACAATTCCCTAACCAGTATTTGAAGGCATTACAGATTCTTTAAAGTCAGTTGATTTCTTTTTATTTTGAGTCTTACCTTAACCATGACTCTGTTCTCTTGTAAATTCCTTGAGCAATTTGAAGGTGGCTCCTTTTGTTAGTGTAACAGGCACAAATCCCTGCTGGGAACTTGTTGGCACAGAGCCCCAGAGACAATTTGCAACTGTCTGAGATATAGAGTGTCACTTCCTGGGTACCTTTTGTGGCTGTCTTCTGCTCTCATGCCATTGACTTTATATCCCTATTCCTGGACGTTAGATTTGAATTTGAGAGACAAAAAAGTTTGCAAGGAAAACACATAAACATCATTCCACTGCAAATAGACCATTGGGATTCTTCCTCCCTGAGCCCCAGAAGATATTCCTTGTCAGAGCTAAAGCAAGGAGGTTGGAGAATAGCTTCATTAGCTCATGCACTGACCATTTATCTGAGCATGTTTATGCACCACATGCTGTGCTGGGGCCTGGGGTACAGCAGTAGACAAGTGAGACCTGCTCTTGCCCTCAGTGGGAGAGCAGTCTGGTGGGTGGGGGTGCACAGAAGGGGCTGCTGCAGGTGGGGGGCTGGTAAATGCTGGGACAGGAAGCCCGTGGGGCTGCTGCCAGCCAAGACCTGGAGAGGCCAGGGAAGGCTTTTTCTGGAAGAAGTGATGTTTAGAAAGAAACCTGAGGTTGGGTAAATAATAGCCAGGTGGTGAGCTGGAGCCCAGAATAAATGGGCAAGAGAGAGCCTGGTGTGTTGAAGACATGGAAACAAGTTCCATGAGGCCGAGTGTTTCCTCACAGAGGAAATGGTGGGGCGAGAAGGTGCTGGATAACAAGGTCCATACTGTGAAGAGCCTGGAGGTGAGCTTTGTCCCGAGTTGATGATGGGTTGTAAGCAGAAGAGGGACACGGCTGGATCTGCATTTTGGAAAGATCACCCTGGCCCCTGTGGGAAGAATGGACTGAGAACAGCCAGAGTGGAGGCAGGGAGCCATCCGGAGGCTGTGCCCATGGTCGGGGTGACAGGTGACAGCCTGTGCCCGCACAGCCTTGAGCTGACACCTGAGGTGGAAGGAGGGAGCTGGTGGAGACTGCTGGGTAAGGAGGCCAGGTCTGTCGCAGAGGAGACGCGGGCTGCGGGGCGATGTGGGGCAGCAGGGGAGCCCATGCTTGCTTTTGCTCCCGGCCCTCTCTGTTTCAGGTCTACGATGCCCACTGCCCCCGTGCTGCGGGGTGGCAGCAGGAGTGATAGTGCGTGGAGTGTGTGCCATGCGCACATAGTGCAGCTGTGTTCTGGGCTGTCGCCTCCTTTGGTCCTCTCCATAACTCCAGGTGGTTGATTACTTGCTGACAACCACACAATTAGCCAGGGTGGAGCTAGGATTCGGATCCAGCTGGGATTTGTTGCAAAGGTTTTCCATGATATCACAGTGCCTCTGTATCATTTCAGGAAACACAGGGGATGGGTAACAATCACCTTTGTAAATAATTCCTTTGCTCTGAGAAGTGAATTTTAATAGTGGACTATGAACGCCTAGGTAGAGAGAAGAGAAAGAGAGGGAGTTTTACTTTGAATAAGTGGGCTTCTGTGGAGCCCCTGAGTAGTGTCATCGAGTCACCTTGATTCTGGACAGGGAGGATCCTGACACTGACCAGGGAGTGGGAGTGTAGTGGAATGAGCAGGGAGATGTCTCTGAGGTAACACGTGCTGATCTTCTGTCTTGGGAATCAGAAGACTTGGAAATCAGGGACTCAGATGCAGAACAGTTCTGTGGCCTTACTTGGGTCAGACATTGGGGTTGATAGCAGACACCTCCAGTCTTCCTGAAGACACTGATGAAGTGGAAAAAAATTCTGAGTTTTTAAATAAAATTAAATCCATAATCAGCATCATAGACTCATATGTTACATTAACCAAGGAGAGCTCAGGAAAGTTTTGAGAGCCAGAGAGAAGACAAAATGTCATCAAAATAATGCTTTCACTAGGGAGGCTGAGGCTGCAGTGAGCTATGATCATGCCACTGCACCCAGCCTGGGCAACAGAGCAACACCCTATCTCTAAAAAATAAAATAAAATAATACTAACAATACTTTCAAGCTGGGCGTGGTGGCATGTGCCTGTAGTTCAAGCTACTCAGGAGACTGAGGCAAGAAGATCACTTGAGCCCAGGAGTTGATGGCCAGCCTGGGCAATATAGCAAGACCCCATCTCTAAAATAATAATAATAATGGTAATACTTTTAAACAAAAATGAAGTCATATCTCCAAAGAGCTCAGAGCTCCCTGTACAAGCTTTCTTTGTGTTGAATTTCTGTTTATTTGTTTATCGTGGTGGCTGAATGCTAGTGTTTTGGACTAATGTAGAAGAGAAGCTAGCCTTTATTAGAGAAAGATTATTAGAGAAAGAAACAAAAGGAGATTTAGCAAAGACAGAGGTAGGAAGAAGGAAGTTTGAGATAATACCTTGTATCTTGTTCTTGGAGTCAGAGGTGTCCCCTCGCATGCTCAGATACCAACCTTCTGCGAGGTCCCAACCCCTGCTACAGCCCTGGGGATCAGTTGTTCTCTGGGAGCATTTGTCTCCTCCAAATAACACAAGAAAGAATGAAATTGTGAAAGGACTCCAGGTGTAAGGGGGTTGTTATCTGAAAATGTGTCCATATCCATAGGCATCTTTTGGGACAGGGAAATTCTCCAGAAAGGAACTTCAGTGGAGAATGTACAAACTGATTAGTCAAGTCAACAGAGGGGAAAAGCTTGTCAGCAAAAGATAGAAAAAAAGGCATCGGTTGTAAAACCAGTGGTCCAGTGCTGATGCCTACAGGATCTGACGTTTTGGCCACACAGACACTTTCCCAGCTGTCATTTTTCACCCAAGCAGGTCTTTGCCCTAACGGTGGCTCTGGCAATACATATCTTCTTGGGGTGTCTCTTTGCCATCTGTCCATGTACATGTGTGGTGGAGGAGGTCACGTTACCACATGTTCCGTGGTCTGGGCAGAGTTCTCCTTTCAGTGGAGGAAGCCACAGCCCGTGTGCGCTGCATGTCCAGCCCCGCTGGGTCTAACGGTCAATGTTTCAACAAGGCCCAGTGGCCTTAGGCAGAGTCCAGGAAAGGAAGGGTCTGTGGCTCCCCGTGGGTTCTCAGGAGCTGGAGAAAGTTCTAGAAAGAGAAGGAGGCAGACACAAGCTGAAGGGTGTGGATCGGTAGCTGGGAGAAATCACTGAAAAGTTGGCAACCCAACTGCTATGATTTCAAAAAAATGTTCCAATTAGAAAACTTAATATCCTACAATATAGCATGTCTGGACTTTGGAACTAAAATGGAAAACCGAGATAGTAAAATTCAGAAATTATTTGGGGGGCTTCTGAAATTTCTCTGAACATGCTGGGGTTCAGTCATGAGGCAGATCTGGGAGACTGACTGATAGCCAACACCCCCAACGTCCCCCAACACCCCCCAAAATCCCTGACATCTCCCTCCCCAGTCTTGGTGGGTTCCGGAGGAATCTGAAGAGAGGTGGGGAAGAGAGGCTGGAAATTATGCTTATAAAAGCAGCCAGTTAGGTTAGGCAGTTACAAGGCAGAAACTGCTCAGTGCCTTCCGTTCCCTGCAGGGTCCCACACCTGCTGAGCAACTGCATGTTAAAGCCACCCCACCCTTCCCACGAGGGTTTGCTCAGATTTCCCCCTGATGGGAAACAGAACAGTTTCAAAGACTGCTCCGCAGGGGCCTCAAGCTACCCCAGGAATCTTTGAATCCTGTGGACAACACACGGAATTTTCTGCCCTCTGAGGGCGAGTCAGGCTGTGTTTGGTTGGGATCCAAGAGGAGGAGACCTCACAAGCCTTGAGACTTTCAAATGTGACATCTTAACTAAAGGAACTCCTATGAGGCGGGCAAAAATGAGACAATGAAACTGCACAGGCCACAGACAGGAAGCTTCAGTCTCCCTGCAGGGAGAATTGTCAGGTCCCTGGACTCAAGCTGAGAAGTCCCTCCCCGTCCCAGAGCTGTTGAAGAGAATCTCTGCAGTACAGAGAAAGTGAGGTGGAGAAGTCCCTCTTCAGGGACTTCCAGAGCCGTAAATGCTATTCGTGGGTACTGCTTCAGAGCAGGTTTGCCAGCAAACATTTCACCCATGGGCCAAGCTGCTGACTTCACAGGTGGTGGGTGGAAGTGAGTGGCATTCAGAAAGCAAAGGGTCGTTAGCCTGGTGGCCCATGAAGCGGCTTGCACTTTCGGGCTCTCTAAGGCACTTTGGGGGTGGCAGGGTGTAGAAAGAATCAGCGCACATGGAAACAGCCCTGTGAAGCTTACACCCTCCACCCTGCTTACTCCGGAAGACGCGTAGAGACGAGCTCAGTTCCTCATTCGAGAGACATTGCAGTCTCAGTTCTTTTTATCTGTACTTCTGCTTTGATTGCCAAGAATTTAATTCACTTTATCCCTTTGAAAAAAATTTCTGAAAGCACAAGACCCATTCTTGGGAAGCCAGGAAGGCCTAGGAAGCTTTGCACTTCCAGCGTGATGTGATGTTCGAGGCCTGTCACAACCGAGCTCTGAGTTCGCAGCTTGGAGTTCAAGAATAGACACTCAAGAGACTCTACTGTTTTGAGGGCTATCTTAGTTCAACACCTTGGAGCCTCTGGGGTACTGAGGGACAGATGTGTTGTAGGACACTCTCTGCACAACTTTGGGGAGCTAATTCTGTGAGCCCTGTGCAATGACAGCAGCCGGCACTTACGTGGCACTTTCTCTGGTCCATGCGCTGGCTGGGTGCCCTTCATACATCATCTCGCTTCATCCTTACAGAGACCCTGTGAAATAAGGACTATTATTAGCACTATCCCCACGTCACTGATCAGGAACTAAGACACAGGGAGATAAAGTCACCTGCCCAAGGTCGTAGATATAGTCAGTACGTGAATCAATCAGGCTTTAAATCCTGAGTTTGTGTTCTTCTCTGCTGCCTACTGCTGCTTTCCTGCAGCCGAGAACAGCCCCTGTCATGCTCCTCACCACTTTTTTTAAACCATTAAATCATCTCTGAGCCCTTGGTTTTGTGTTTTTATTAATGCCCTGAGAAAATTTTGCCTCCTTACTGCTTTTTCTAAGTCCCACATTTAAGGTTTGATAATAATAGTTACAGCATTGAGTGCTCACCCTGTGAGATCCCTCACATTCATTATGCCATTTATAGGTGGGGAAACTGAGGCTCAGATAAGTCACTTCCTCAAGGTCTCACAGCTACTTAATGGCAGATTTGGCCTTATTACCTTACACCTACTCTGTCCTGTGAACAGTTCTGTGAGCTACAAAAAGAATGTCCTGTTGGCCACACCACGGTATGAGGTAGTTCTGGGAGCTAAAATCCAAGTTATGTTCAAAAGCAGTGGTCCCCAATCTTTTTTGGCAACAGGGACTAGTTTCATAGAAGACAAATTTTTCATGGATTGGGGTCAGGGGTGAGGTGGGGATGGTTTTGGAATGATTCAAACACATTACATTTACTCTGCACTTTATTTCTATTATTATTATTATTATTATTATTATGTAGTACATCCTCACTGTCAGGGTTTTGATATAAATCTGCAAGCAATTGATCTATTGTGGTCTCTGTGAAGTCAGACCTCTCTACTAATGATCATCTGTATTTGCAGCCGCTCCCCGGCGCTAGCATCACCGCCTCAGCTCCACCTTGGACCATCAGGCATTAGATTCCCACAAGGAGCACGCAACCTGGATCCCTCACATGTGCAGTTTGCAGTAGTGCTTGAGCTCCTATGAGGGTCGAATGCTGCTGCTGATCTGACGGGAGGCGGAGCTCAGGCGGTGATGAGTGTGATGGGGAGCGCCTGTAAATACAGACGAAGCTTCGCTCACTTGCCCACCACTCGCCTCCTGCTGTGCGGCCAGTTCCTACCAAGCCATGGACTGGTACTGGTCCTCAGCCTGGGGTTTGGGGCCCGCAGCTCTAAAGTATTTAGTTAAAATGAAGAACACCTTTGCGGGGAGAGTTGCAAATTGCAGAGCTGGGTATTAAAGTGGAAGCTTAGTTCTGTGGAGATGCAAAACCACCACAACAGGGCGGTTAGACAAAAGTGAGAAGGAGAAGTCTGGTGAGGCCGCAAATTTAGCTGGACCATCAAATCCTGCAGTTCCATGTCTAGCTTTGAGAATGCTTTACGGCAATGCTCCACTGTATAGTGATGAAGAGTTTATCGAGTTCTCTCAAATATGCACTTGGCGGAACAGGATATGCAGAATCAGTAGAAGACTGTCCTTCCTCCGGCAGATCTGATAATCTGAGAGGCCAGCGTGATGTGTCTGCCTAATGTGTTTTTAACATATCTGCCAAAGCACGTGAAGACCTCATCTTAGGCTGCAGCAGTTTATCCACAAGTGTCGGAAGAATGACAAAAAAGAGAGGCCTGTGGGAAGTGGCAGAGGTGATGTGCAGAGGCGATGCAGATGTTGGAGAAGAAGAGGGTATGTCTTGGGAAGAGTGAGGCACTGTGCGGGTTGGGGAAGAGGGGAGCTGGGGAAGAGAGGCAGGTCAGAGACCAGAGAGGGTGGTGAGAAAGGCACAGGAACGTGCACAAAGACGTGCAAATCCAGGCCTGGGGTGCCTGGTCTTGAAGAGCAGTAAAATAATAACAATTCCAGCGTCACAGCTTTGCAGGTGCCTTTCATGCATTGCTACGTTTGCTCCTCTTGGAACCCTTTTCAAACGCCCAGTGCATTATTATCCCCATTTTACAGATAAGCCTCCCCACAGAGGCTAAGTGACTACCCAAGGCCACCCAGTTAGAAAGTGGCAGACCAGGACCCACACCTCTGTGACCTTCTACCACCTGTCACTTTGTTGTAAGACTCCACTAGTTGGTGCTGACTCTCATATGGGAACACAGGACCGGTTGGGGCCAAGTTATAGAAAGTCTTACCTTTGTGCTTGAGGAATTTGCATTTGTAGGGTGATGGTGAAATGGAAATGGCATTTTTACTGGTTAAATGTAGCAATAGTATACAGATTTAATCGGTTAAATCTCTAGAAAGAGAAGAGGCTTATGGTTTCTAGGCATCTGCTAACAAAGTCCAAGGTTAGGATGGTGACATCGTACATACAGAGTAAGGACAAAATACAAGAAATATCACATAAAAATGATGGCAGTAACTCTGCCATTTGATTGGATGTGAGGTAAAGAAAGAAGAATTAGAGAAAACATCCCGATAGCGGTCAACAGCTGAGTGGGATCAGTTTGAGGAGTTGGATACATTCAGGTAGGCTTTGAGGTAGAGGCAGAATCTCCAGGTAAGACCACCTTGTGGGCAACTAAAAGTGTATGACTATAGATCAGGTTGGAATTCAGGAAAAGCCACTTCAGTTCTCCTAGTCTCAGTTTTTTTTTCTTTATTTGTAAAATTGAGATTAATAATGCCAATTTAGCCTATCTCAAAAGATAGCCAAGTAGAGTAAATGAGATAACGGAGAATAAAGTTCTCTGCATATTGTAAGATGAAAATATGAGACATCAAAAGGCATATCTGGAGGCAGAGGCGGAGAGGCAGGGGCAGAGTCTTTAGGGGCTGAGGTGAGGGAAGATGGGGAGAGGTGTGCGGGCAGAGGCGGGGGTCCAGGGGACAGGGTCACGGTAGGATGAAGATAAAATCACGCTGGATTCAGAAGGGCTGAGCAGTCAGCAAACAAAAAGCCAGGAGGCCCCAGGGCCAAGAAAGCAGAGGAGTGGAGGTGTCAAAGGCGTGAGGATCGGATTCTACAGAGTGACCAAGGAGGAAGTTTGAGAAGAGACCAGTGGACCAACCAGGCTGAGGCCCAGAACAGACGACCTTATCTTAGGTCTGTAGGAGTAGAGGAGGGTCTCATCTTGGGTGACGGGGTGGGGGAGGGCAGCCAGATTGCTGCAGATTAGGAAGAGGAGGGGGAGGGGGAGAAATGGCAGCAGGGAGCCCACTGATCTGGGGTGTTAGGTGTAAAAAAAACCAAAAAAAACGGCAAGGAGAAATGGGGCGGAGTTTCAGTAGGTTACAGAGTTGGCTGAGGAGAGAAGGACAGTAACATTTGGCTGACCACCTGCTATGCAGAACCAACATGTGCTTTCATCTAAATCTCAAAACAATCCTAAGGGCCCAGCTCCCGTGGTGGAGATAAGGAAGCTAAGTGAGCAGAGCTTACACAGCTAGAAAGTGGGGGTGGGGGTGGGGGATGAGGGTTAGGGGATGGGGGATGGGTGGGGATCAGGTGGGGATGGGGTTGGGAGTGGGTCAAGGTGGGGAGTGGGGGGCTGGTGGAAAGGTCGGGACGGGGTGGGTGGGCGGCTGGGGAGGGTGGGGTGGGGTGGAGTAGGGGATGGAGGGGTGGAGTGTCGGGTGGGGATGGGGTGCGGGATGGGGTGGGGAATGGGAATGGGGGGGATGGATGGGTGGTGGAGTCCAGCAGCACTCCTGATTTCCAGTGAGCGTCCTTCCGGCGACACCGCGGCGCTGGTGCGTGATGTTTGAAGGGAGAGGAGAGACGAGCAGGGAAGAGACTGAAGTCACCTGAGGGAGACGGGCTGAGAACTGGCATCAAGGTGACCCAGGGAGAAGGCACACGTCTTCCCTCCCTGACTCAAAACCTCCCTCCAGCAGCAAACCCTTGGCAGTGGTCGCAGAGCTCAGGAGCGCCCTGTCCCTCTGCTGTAGTCACTTGCTCAGCTGCTCCTGTCTCAGCTTCCTGCCCTGGGCCTTCCACTGACAACCTTCTTGTTGCCCAATGCCCTGGTACCTTTTGTCCCCATCAGCTCCCTCTTGGCCTCCTTGGCATTGCGCTTTCTCAGCCGTCTTTCCTGCCTCCTGCTCTCTCTGCCTGTCCCCTGATTGTTGATGCTCCCTGTGGCTCCATCCTGACTCTGTCCCTTGCTCTGCTCTCACACCCCTGCGGGAGATCTCCCCGCCTCTGGTCCTGTCACCATCAGAACACCCGGCGCTGATGGCCCCGCAGGCTCAGGCTCACCCAGCTCCCCCGCCCAGCTCCCTGTGGCAACAGGGCAGTTCCCTCTCCCTGTTTCATAAATGCCTCACATTCAAAAGGGCCCCAATGGTTCTCCTCATTTCTTCCCCCAAACCACAGCTTCCTCCTGTGCCTCTTTTATTAATGAAAGACACCACTCCCCTCCTCAAATCCTGAGAGAGTGCATGACGGCCCTGTTCCCTGACCTCCCACGCCCAGGCTCCCACAGTTCGGTTGGTCTCACCCTTTTATATCTCTCCGTCCCACCCGGTCCTGTCCCCCCACTCTGACCCGGATTATCATGAGAGCATTCCCATCCCGCTGTCTGCACTCAGATTTGCTGCCCCCAAAGTGTCCTCCACCTGCGCCAGGATCAGCAAGTCTGCTCCTCTCCTTGTGGGGGCTCCCACTGCCCACAGGATGGAACCCTGGCCCCTTAGTGTGCACAGAAGGCCCCTCACACCACGCTCTGCCAGCCCGTCCTCCTCCGCACGCTTCACCCGGAAGACTGTCCTGGGTTACCCTCACTTCCCCAAACGTGCCATGTGCCCCCAGCCCGGGGCCTTCATGCATCCTGTTCCCCTGTCTGGGATCCCTGACTCTCCTCAGTCAACTTCTCTCCTTAGAACCTTAAAAAGCACCCCATTAATCCAGGCTGGCTGCGGCCCCTCCCACGAGTTCCCCTGCACTGTTTACGTCTCCCTCTGACAGAGCTCTGTCCTGGTCACTTGTCTGGCTCGGCCACCACCCTGGAGGCTCCTTTACATCATGGGTTGTGTTTTCTTCGGTGTCCGAGGAAACTGGCGCTGTTGTGATTGAGAGCTGACAGCTGGCTCAAGCCCCATCCCCCACTAACGAGCGAACTTGGGCTCGCAAGCTATTCCATGTCTCTGCACTTTGGTCTTCTCATCTATAAAATGATCGGATCCCAGCACCTGGAGCTGTTGGCGAGAGCACGGCGGGCTATCTGAGGATTGACACATGAGGAGCTCGCAGAGCGCCTGGCTCAGAGTAACGCAGCCGATTCCCTGTTGCCCCTTGTTGGATGAAGGGGCGGCTGCAGCTTGAGACGGGTGGGCTGCCAGGAGAAATGCACTTCCCCAGCACCTTTGGGTGGGTTTGGCCAAGACAGGGTGGCTTGAAGTGAAGAGCAATGGGGATGGCAGATGTAATCAGACGACCAAGGGCCCCGATGGCAATTTACCGGAAGGGTTTTCAGTGTGGAAGTGACAGGTCCTAGGGATGGTGGCCAAACAAGTGGCTCCAAATGCCACCTAGTCACAAGCAGAGAAGGTGCCCGTGTGGCAGGTCTATCAGTTCTCCCCTTTGGCCAGGTTAGGTGCTGCTGCCCTCTGTCCTGGGGCTGCTCTGCCCCAAATCTCATCATTAGTTCTTTGTGATGATGATGCAAACTGCACCAGCCTCTATCTTTGAAAGATTATTTGCTCTTTAGTAATTTACTACAGCGTCAGGGCAACTGGCTGTCTACCTGCATGTTGCTTGCTGCTGTCCCCAGTGTGTCTGAGTCAATGTGTCCCAGTGCCTCAGCCTTCGGGTCCTGTGAGCAGGACACAGGTCTGCACCCAAGACCTGAAGGTGGCACACGCCTGAGCCCGTGGTGGGTGTTGATGGCGGCGTGCAGGGAGTGAGGGGAGGGCTCAGTGCCAATGTCTAATGATCCCATGAGAATGTATCAAAGATATTTTTTTCTAAGTATGAATAAAAAAAACTTCTGTGAGGTTTTGAACAATTGCATCTTTGCTATGATGGTGCAAACATTCTAAGTATCAACAGAAGCCATTCATCCTCATCAGATTTTAACTGGTCACACATGTGTTTGGTTTATTTCCTGACTCAAATATGGAATCTCCATCTGCTGCTGCCGCTGCTCCCTGTTCCTTCTTTGTTGTTTAATTACCAGTAAAGCTGCAGGAGTCGAAGTCTTAATTCCTTTCTTTGTTCGGAGCCCCTTCCAGTGCAGTAAGCTCTGCACACGCTCACTCCTCTCCCATTAAGGCCGTGAAAATTACACTGTCAAATTATTTCCCAGTTTCCCTTGAATTTCTCTCTTTATACATTTCTCAGCTTCCTGTCACGTACTTAATTGGTTTGGCTGAATTTTACAGTCATCTAGCAGGCGATTTTTTTTCTTTCCTTTCCTTTTTTTTCTTTCTCCTCCTTCCTCTCCCCACCCCCTTTTTACAGTCTACTGAAAGGGGTTGCAGCATGGTGTGGTTGAATGATTTATATGGGCAGGAAAGAACAACCAAAATATTTTAAAGGTTTCTCAGGAGAAAACGTTGAACTTAATGGAATTTTAAATCCGGGCTGGTCCTGCATTTTGCTGGGGGCTTTTAGCTACACGAGGTTTCTAGGAAGGGTGTTTGTGTATTTTCTTTCTTTCGCTTTCCAAGAATAAGATGTTTTTGGTATCAAAGCCCCCCGCTTCTGCAGTTATCTTCTCCCTACATCTGGGCTGCTTGACAACCATCGACCACTTCCACTGTGCCTGCCCCCAGCCAGCCTCCTGTGGGGCCTTGAACCCACCCAAGCTTCAGGCAAAGGAACTGAAGCAACTGTGGGACTCAGCATTACCTTGGTGTTGATCTGATCTTGCATTTGTGCTCTGATTCTAAAATTGGGCCTCTCCCTTGTTCCTGAGATTCAGTTTCCAGCTCATTAGGGGAAATAGACCCCAGTCTTGGCATCCACAGTCTGCGTCTCGGTGGCTAAGGCTTTGTCTAGCTCCCAGGCTGTCTGGGACTCAGGGCCTGCCTGCACTGGCCAGGCCCCCTTCCAGGTCCAAAGTCCTCTCCTTGCACCGTGGCCTGGCAGTAAGGGCCTTGCTGCATGCAGACTGACTTCCCCACTGAATTCTGCCTTCCTCCCCAGTTGCTCAAGGAGTCTTTGTTGCTGGAGACTATTGTTGGTCTGCCTGCTCCCCTTGAATCCTTGGTAGACCACCATCTTTTTTGATGACCTCTTGTTTGTGGTCATGCCTGCTGGATTCTGTGTCCTGCCTGTGATAAGGGACTTTCCTCCAGCATCTGTAGCTGACAGTGTCCCTGAAGGCCACACCCCAGCAAGGGATCAGTTCAGGGCTGGGTCCCAGCCTCCCCAGGCTGCCCTTCTCACTGCAATTCACAGTTTCCTGTTGGTCCTGAGATGGAACAAGTGGTAGCCTTCATAGTCAAATAGTTTAAGGACTTGATTGCTTTCAAGTCTATTTCTACTTTTTCAGGCCCTTCTCTGGTCTCCTAGATACAAGCTTTCCCTAAGATTCTAACAGAATCTTGGCCCCAACGTCAGGTTCTTTAAGACTGAAGTGGTTCTACATGGCCGTGTGGATGGCTAGGACTCTGTCCTTTCCAATAAAAGGCCACTTGTAATGGAACATTTCCATGAAAATACCTCTGGCTGGTGCCATACCAGTCTCCATCCCCCTGCCTTGTCTCATAGTCCCTTTAGCTCTGTGTATTAACTCCAGTTCTAGTGTCCTGCCCATCCAGAGCTGACACATACTTGTGACATTAATCCAACTCCACATTTGTTTGATTGACTTGGCTTGTGCAGGCCACCTGTGCCCCCTCTTGCCTTTTGTCTGAGTACCTCTGTGTTTGCACTTAGTCCTTCTGTCCTGGCCCTGCCAATGGATAGAAATTTTAGTTCACTAGAAGAGTGAGAGGAGCTTCTCATTTTGCTGTATTCCCAATCCTAAGCCAGGCTCACAGACATCCAGCCTCTCTGTGACTGTTTCCTGCACTGTATCTGCAGCTGTGGCCTGTCTCTCGAGCTCTAGAGTACGTGGTCCTAGTTGCAACAAATAGCCTCACCATCCTCCTTAAAATCTAAGCTGGGAACCTCAGACCTGCTGTTGAGATAGGTCAAAAGGACAGAGCCATTATCTATGTAATCAGAACCAAAGCTGCAGGGTCATCTCAGACATAGAATTGAACCCTTAGCTCTGCAGATGAGAAATTTCATCCTATCAGTTGTGAAGAAATCAACTTATGCTCACAAAACTCACAGGGGACTAATTGTTAACCTAAAATTCTGATTTATAATTTATAGTGGGAATTACAATGAAGGATTCTACTTTCACTTCATCGCATTCTTCCAGTTCACAATCCATGGTCCATTTTTCTAGAGAGACTTCACTGAGCAGATGGGTTGTCAGAGGGCTCCCTGGAAGGGATGAATGGGTTCAGAGCAAAGGGGTGGAGTAGTCTTGAGAGTTTTTCATTAGAAACATGTCAGAACAATCTGAGAGTAACCAGGGTTTCCGTAGAGTGTGCCTTTCTAGCAAGCACCAAGAGGAGTCTACTTTTTACACCTCATGAGTGTAAGAGTTTATGCCATCGACTCATCCCTGGTGGCCAGTGGGATGGCAGATGTTGAAGTTGAGTCATTTCTACATTCATTCATGAGGATGGAGCCCCTAGGGAGTGTTTACCCAGTGCCAACTACCCTGCGGAGCACATGTTCTCTTTCTGCTTCTCATGTAATCCTTACATAGATATTACCTATTTCTGTTGTAGTCCAATTATGTCCCCCAAAGCAATATGCCCAAGTCCTAACCTCAGGTACCTGTGAATGTGACTTTATTTGCAAGGTGGGTCTTTGCAGATGTATTGTTAAGATGAGGTCCTACTGGATAATGTAGGCCCTAAGCCCACTATGACTGGTCTCCTTATAAGACAAGGAGAAGACACAGAAAAGGTGATATAAAGACATAGAGGGAAAATGCCATGTGATGACAGAATCAAGAGATTGAAATGATGCATCTACAAGCTAAGGATTGCTGGTAACCACCAGAGGCTAGAAGAGGCAGGGGAGGATTCTTTTCCAGAGCCATCAAAGGAAGCATGGCCCTACTGACAACTCAGTTTCAGAATTCTAGATTCCGGAACTCTGAGAGAATAAATTTCTGTTGTTTTAAGTCGCCTAGTTTGTGGGACTTTGTTAAAGTAGCCCTAAGAAACCAGTACAAGCTCCATTTTACAAATGAAGTAAGGGGTGCTCAGAGATGCTAGTTTACCCGACACTAAATGCTTAGAGTTCCCAACTCCAAGGGCTTGGACCCCACACTGCCTAGTCCCCTGCTGGCTGGTCTGAACCATTAGGTAGAGATTCGCTTTCTCTTCTGTCAAACTCATATTCCAGACAGATTGTATAATCACGCCAGCATTTCCCCAAGTAAGATTGAGTAGAACATTACTTCTGTGAGATGTTAGACTGTGTTAATATGCAGAAAAGCTTTCAGGGTTAAAAGTAGGGCAAGAAATTGTGTATAAATCAGGCTTTTTCCCCCTGCAGGATGCCATAGAGCCTTAAATGCATTATGACCCTCCAAGACAGGGATATTAGAGCTTGTTGTCTTTCTCAGGCTGATTTGACCACAGGAGCCTTTGTACAGAGCATCTCATGGGATTCATGTTTTGTGGAAGATACCGTGGGAAGATATCCTTAATCGTGGGGAAGATTAAAGGGAAAAAAAAAGCCCCATCATTTATGAGCCAGTCATAATTTTGAGTTACATCTTCACGTAGGTCTCTGAAGGAAAATTGAAAAGCATCTTTGCTGCATCAGAGCTACGTCTACAAACCATCATCTCTTTGGGTAGGTTAAAGTAACTAACCAGACCTCTTTTACCAGACCTCTTTTATTCTTCAGATCATTATGTGATTTCTTGGGGTCAATGTCTTCTTGTCAAAGGCCATTAGGAACATGCCTGTAGATGAACAAAGTTGGCTTTATGGACTCCTTGTATCCAGGGAAAATGCACAGCACTAGAAGGTGGGGTGTCTCAGGAAGAAGATGTTAGTAAGGAACTGTAGAATTTGTGCTTGTGTTAGGTAATTTGAGGAAACAGGACTCTGCAGTTCTTTCTTATAACAGCCCCTGAAAACAGGGACCCAATTTATCACACCCAGGCAATGAAAACTTGTCTCCCCAAACCTACCTGTTCTTTTCTAGACATCAGGAAGCTTTCCTCCATAGCCGTGGGTTGTTTTGTAGTATTTATGCAGGTGGAGCAAGCAGTGTTTACTCTAGCATAAATTTCTCTTTCACTAGCTAAGAAGAAATTAGGTGCTACGTGATTATCCATGACAACTCTGCCCAATGAATTTAAATTTAAACCTAGGCTTCCAGAGCAGAAGCTGTATGATTTATGACTTTTGCCAGGGTCTGAGACAAATTTTGGATGATCCTTTCTGGTTGCATTATCCCAGCTGTGGTAGACGTTGCTTGTATAGTGTGATAGTTCATTTTAGGTGTCAACTAGACTGGCTTGAGGAATACCTGGAGAACAGGTAAAGCATTGCTTTTGCGAGTGTCTGTGAGGGTGTTTACAGAGGAGATTATTGTGTGAGTCCGTGAACTGAGTGGGGAAGATCCACCCTCAATGTGAGCGGGCAACATTGGCTGTTGGCTGGGGGCCCAAATAAATAGAAGGGGAGAGAAAAGGATTTGCTCTCTCTCTACTGAAACTGGGACACTCTCTTCCTCCTGCCCTTAATTCCAAGCTCTCTAGCCTTAGGATTCCAGGATTTATACCAGCGCCAGCAGATTCTCAGCCTGAGAATCTTCAGCCTCGGACTGAGAATTACGCCATCAGCTTTTCTGGTTCCAAGACCTTTGAACTTGGACTGAGCCACACTGCCAGCATCCCAGGGGCTCCAGCTTGCAGTTGGCCTGTCGTGGGACTTCTCTGCTTCCATAATTGCATAAGCCAATTCCTCTAATAAATTGCCTCTCATATATCTCTGTGTATCTGTCTATTTGTGTGTCAGTTTATCTATCTATCTATCTATCTATCTGTCTATCTATAATATCCTATTGGTTCTGCCTTTGTGCAGAACCCTGACTAACACACGCAGCATGCAACACAGGAAGTCAGTTCTCCCTCTGAGAGTTGCTTCAAGATGCCTGTACTTGCCTCATTTGGAGGTTTCCCTGTTTTCCTTTTAGGGAAACATGATTCACTGGAGGGGTGGTAGTTTTAAGCATTTGAAATTCCCCAACAATTTTCCTGAATGCACAGGATGAGTTAGTGTGTGGCAAGTGGGTGTAGGGCTGATGTCTGCATGAGAGGCGTTGTTGTCGTGGAGCAGACAGTATTGGCACTGGCAATTTAAGAATCATTGATCACAACAGGAATGAACCTTCTTTGAAAAATTTGGTGTGCGTGTGTCACTGGAGGTGGGAAGGTGCCTTCCGTGGAGTCAAACAGGTCCTGCAAAGCAGACTGGAGTGTCCCTGAAGGAAATGAGGTAACTACTTTTATCCAGGATATGCTCAATCTTTGTTCCCACTCCTGAAGGGTTAGGTTTCACCAGTAGGGTTGTAAGGGCCTCATCAGAAGTGTTTTGTTGATGTGCAATCCATGTACAGTTTTTTTAAGACTGACATTTGGAATTCATTATGCCAGGGAAACAAATATCAGAAGGGATATATGGAAGAAAATTTAACTTTTGAAGTGTTTTTATTAATAAAAAATAGTTATCAGCAATCAGTTAAATTACGTACAGTAGCTATAGTCTGAGAGCAACACAGCAGGGAGTTTTGTTTATTTCTTAAGTGGGCAGAAGACCGACACCGGTCAAAAATAACCATATGAAGACTAGGGAGGTCCTATTAATTAGTAGAGGTGGCCAAAGTAGAATAACAGACAAGATGGGTGGCAGAGTTAAGGGGAGAAAAGGAGTGTTAAAGAATCAGCAAACTGAATTTGTTCTGCTGTGTGAAAGTTGTTTGTGTCTGTAGTCAGTCACCAGTTTGTTCCACTGTTTTGGGCAGAAGCTGTCCACTTCTGTAACTCTTCTGGTGAATTTCTGAGGTCTCCGAAAGGAATGGACTTCCAGTAGTTGGGGAATAAATATATGTATGTTATTTTAGTTGAGAAACATGAATCCAAGGTTCACGTGAAGACTCCAAGATTAAGATTGGAGTGTTCTGCTGTGTCCATTGTTAACAGAACCCAACAAGGTCCTTCCCTTCAAGTTTCTAGAAGAGTTTCTCTCTGATATCTTTTGCAGAAGACCAAATATCTAGGTTTCAGGTCACACCCGAGGCTGCTTATGTCGATGTTTTGGAAATGCAACTTGCACACAGTAGTTACATTTGATTGTGATGGGATATTATCATGGACTGGAAGTAATTCCCAAATGCATGAGGTAGCCTCTTATGAACTCAGAAGGAGTTAATTTGTGAGTCCTAGGGAAGATGGATCTTACTTGCAAACAAGATGGAGCACTTTGGCCATTGGACTTTTGAGGGTTTTAGAATTCCTTCAGTTCTCATTACTTTTACTGATGTTTGTGGACAGTAAAGTTTCTAAGCAAAGGTAGAACCTTACAGTTCTTTAATAATTGTAACAGTGAAATGTGTGACTCTGTTATTGGAGAGACCAGTTGGGATTTCCAAATTGGTAATATAGAATTAAGCAGGGTTTTTTTTCCCTACCATTACAGACATAGCTATCCAGCAAAGAAAAGCCTTATCACACTCTGTGAATAGACAATTTCTGGGACAAATTCATAGACCTTTCAGAAAATGTTCAAAGGGGCATTGAGGCATTGGTTGTCCATGTTCTACCTTTATAGTCTGCTAGGACTGCATTGATGCAGTTAAGGCATGTATTGGAACATAGGCAATATTCTTAAAATTTCCCCAGCAATGTTGGTTTAATATCATTACCAGTTTATCTCTGCTATTGTAGAAATATTGTGAAGCAGTTTTGCTAGATTCTGCTTTTATTATAGCTCTCTCCTTAGGCAATAGCAAAGTATCTCAAGGTTCTTTAATTCACTGTCTATTTTATAGGGGTTTGTGTAGTGTCAAGAAATCTCTTTATTGCTAAAACATTTTGAATTCATGTACTAATCCAAAATCATATTCTTTATATCAACATATAAGTATTCTTTAATCTTTTGTTAGTGGGCAGGTCTAAGTAAGGGCAATGAATTTAGCCATCTGAACTTATTATTTCTAGGAAAAGCTTTTATTTCAAGGGTAAATTCTAATCAGTGATAGCATAGTCTACTTGGAAATTTTTAGTTTTTCTTTTTTTGTATGAACCAACAATAAGCAAAATTAAATTTGGGATATCCAAGGGACACTCTAGAAGGCACATGCAAGGGGAAGAGGTAACCAATCATGGGCTTCTTTTTCTATAGACAGATGAGGGAAGACAGGGAGCTGGGTTTACAGTGTTACTGTGATGTATGGTGACATTGTGGTGTGGCTGCTAAATCTAATGAAAGACTAAAATAAACAATAAAGCTCTGATGATTCCCACATAATTGAGCCTGAACTATTTGTTCAGCCTTTTCATGACAAAAAGGAAAAGTATGTTTGTTTGTGAATCTAGAATCCTGGAAAAAAATCTTTTGATACACAGTTTTTATAGTACTTTGTGTTTAAACGTGAACATGCTTCTTTTAACTCAAAAAACGTATGTAATCCTTGAAAATTTTAAAACTTAATGTGGAAAAAAATCAATAACTTTTTAATTGATCAGCTTTTTGTTACTAAGTTTGGTAAAAAAAAAGAAAGAACTCTTGTAATCATTTTAAATTAATTAAAACTCAAAGGATATTTAGAAATGTAATTATTTCCATTGTCCTTCTATTCATAGATGAAGAAACAAATCTTGTGTTACCCAATGGACATTGTAGTAAACTTAAAGATAATTTAGGCACAAAAGACATATTAATAGCTTGATTATTCTCAATTTGGGGCCTGAATTTGAGAAAGGAAAATAAAAAATAATTGTTCAAGCAGACAAGATATAAGTCATAAATGTCTAGAGTCAAGAAATAATTATAGGCAACACTGTAAAAATACACAACAATTAACAATAGTTATTAAGAACTTAACTTTTTTTCGAGCAAGGAATCTTTTAAAAAATTATTTAAAAGTGTCAGAAACACTGAAGGTTAACAGAATATTTTATTGACAAAAAGAAATCTTTACTAATATGGGCATAAAATAACTTAATTATTTTATTTTAAAAAGATCTGAATTCTAATTTTACTCTTTTATGCACATTATTCATGTAACATTTCTACAGTAAAGAATTTATTAATATGCCTTAACAAGTATGCATTTAGGCATACACAGATTTGTAAGTATACAAATAGATAATACATTTAAAATATTTAACTATAGCTTTAAAATTAAATCTATGAAATAAAATAATGTGTATATCATATCAAAATTTATACTCTAAATAAACTATTTTAACTTTCCTAATAAATGGGAAACCATATTTATTATACTGCATAAATACTTGTATTTCTCTGTATTAGCTACTTATATTAATTATCGTCTTTAACCAAGGTAATCAATCTTCCTTTTCTTTAGGCACAAAAGAAAGAAGAGAGAAAAATCAAAATTATTTAAATGTTTTTCTGTCTACTAGCATTTATTTCATACGATTTAAACAATTTTGATGTATAAGTAAATGATATCAAAGGCATTTGCATATGTTGTTTATCTATTGTCATTTTTAAGAAATAAAGTTAAAATTTTAATTTAATGATCAGTGTTTGTATCTGTTTCTTATTTAGAAATAGTCTAGACAGCCAAAAATTATCTATTAATTAACTAATCATTTGTCTATGGTCTTAAAGTTACTTAAGGATCAGGAAATTGCAATTTTAATTAGCACATTAAATCCTTATGATTTGTAGCATTGTAAAAATTGCATACCATTAAACCTTTAAAAAGGCATTCATTATTTTTAATATTCATATAACATCATATGTATAATTTTAAATTTTAAAAAGTCATGGAAATACTAGAATCTTGTTTAACTCATACAACCAATGTAGAAAATTTAGTTTAATTAATAAAAAATTAACTCTAGCCTTTTACAAACCAAAATATTGTTCTGATACTAGTTTTCATATTAAATTAATTTTTGAAGACTGTAAATCATGCCAAAACTTTAAGTCTTCTTTTAACTTGAAGATAATGCCTTTTCTTCTTTTTTGTAATTATAATAAAGTCTATAATGCAAATATACTTTAAGTGTCCACAAAAAGAAACACAGTTTAATAACTTTTTCTTTCTTTCTTTCAGACATTTTGACGGTTTATCTGGACTAGTTATTCCTAGAATGTGCACATGAAAGTGAATGATTTATTTGATAAGGTAATCATTAATTTCCAAAGGGTGGGGAAAAGAGAGGAAGAAGAATGACAAAAAAAAAAAAGAGAGAGAGAGAGAAAGTCATGTTTCAGATGAATATGAAATTAACACTGAAAAAGACTAATTGTATTCCTTCTGAAAAGAGAGGGAAGAAGGTTATATGTAGAAAAACAGACTTTGAAATATGACATGAAAAACAGTGATATTAAAATGGGCTTGAACCCTTGGAGATTTTATCAATTAATCTAATTTAAAAGATAGCATTTATTAAAATCCAAGTTATGGGAATAAAGGATGGGCTATCTCCAACTTTAAACAAAAGAATGTCTCTTAGAAAGCAGGACAGTCTCCTCTAGGTTTCTTCGCTTTTTGTTCTAAAGTGCTTCTCAAGTAAACAGTCTTGTTTATGTCAAAAGTTCCCCAGCATGGCCATTGGAATTCCAGATTGTCCCTGGTGAAATTGTGCCAGTTGTAGAGATATGCACTCACATTTGTGTGGCAGCGAGGAAACCTGAAAGACACAGGTATCTGGCCTGGAGAATGTGCAGTTTTAGGTTGAGTGGAGCCCAGGAGAGCTGCAGTGGTCTGTAATGATGGCTCTCATCTAACTGGAATGTGGGCAGAGGCCAATTATCTACAATCAGGGCTGAAAAACAAAATAAAGCAGTTCTCAGAGTCACAAAGATAAGACAGAGGAAGTCCTTAAAAGTTTTGAAATGGTGTCCTGAACAAAGTTTGTCCAAAGGATAAAGTTTGTCCAAAAAATGCCAGTCCTTCTGAACTCTCAGTCCCTGAGGGCGGCCAGAGGACAGATTTATGGGGCCTCTGCCTGTCTTTCCTCATAGACAAACAGTAAGACAGATGTTAGAGGCTAGAAAACAATTTTTCCAACTGACCAGACTTGCAAATCTGATGAGATAACTAAAAAGTCTCATAGGGTTTGTTCTTAGGAAAACAAAACAAAGGCACTGCTGAAGGTTCTCGGCAAAACATCAGAGCTCAATTCCGTCTGAACCTCTCTCCAGCCATGGGTGGGTGTCTCAGATGGACACACAGTTACTGAGTCCAGGGTATTTCGCTCAAGTCAGGAAGGACTTCAGATGAATCTTTGTGAAACTTCTTTTCTGTCAATTGTCCCCAGTCCAAGACAGACCAGAAACAACACATCTGTAATTGCACAAATTGACTTCAATATTAATTGCAACAAGGTTGCTGAGTGTCTTCTCCCGTCTTCCCTGGGATCACCTCTGTAGATGTACAGTGTGGGCAGGTTGGGAGGAAGGGTGTGGGTGGGGAAGGAGACCTTGCAAAATCTAAGTGTTTTGGCGAACACAAGAACTATTGAGCAGTTCTTCTGGAAGGAATTTTGCAGCCATCTCAGGGCCATCCTGTTCAAACCATACCTAACCTTTTTTGTTTGTTTAATAAAAAGGATAATTATAGATTTTCATGCAGTTGTAATAAATAATAGAGAGAGCACTCTCTTGTACCCTTTCCTTCAATGGTAACATCTTGCAAGACTATTGTATGTCAGAGCCAGGATATTGACATTGATACAGTTATGATATAGAAATTTCCTAATCTGCCTTTTTATGGCTTTGTTCACTTCCCTCCCACTCTCACCACCTTCTTAATCCCTGGCAACTACTTTGTTCTTCATTTCTACAATTTTGTTATTTTAAGGATGTTATATAAATGGAATCATACTGTGTGTAATCTTTTGAGTTTTGTTTTTTTTTTTTTTCCTTCACAGCATAATTCTCTGGAGATTTATTCAAGTTACTATATGTGTCAGTAGTTTACGCCTTTCATTGCTGAGTGGCATTCATGGTGTGTATGTACCATGGTTGGTTTAACCATTGAAGGGTTGTTTCCTGTTTGGGACTATTACAAATAAAGCTGCTATAATCACTCAAGTATAGGTTTTCGTGTGAACATAACTCTTCATGTCCCTGGAATAAATGCCCAGGAGTATAATGACTAGACTGTATGATACTAGCATGCTTTATTTTTTAGGAAAACTGCCAAACTGTTTTCCAGAATGACTATCATTTTACATTCTTACCAACAATGTATGAGCAATCCAGTTTCTCTGAATTTGCTGTTGTCACTATTTTTTATTTTAGCCATTTTATTGGGTATGTAGTGATATCTCACTGTGGTTTTAATTTGAATTTCCCTAATGGCTAATGATGTTGAACAATTTTTCATGTGCTTGTTTGCCATCTTTATATCCTCTGAAAATGTTTATATCTTTTGCTTATATGTTTATATAAAGAGGATATATATCCTCTGTTTATATTTTTTGGTCATTTTCTAATTAGATTTTTGTTTTACTGTTGAGTTTTGAGAGTTATTTATATATTCTGGATAATCCTTTCTCAGATATGTGGTTTGCAAATACTCTATCCCAGTCTGTGGCTTGTCTTGTCATCCTGTTAACAGGGTCTTTTGCAGATAAGAGGCTTTTTATCTTAATGATGTCTAGTTTATTAATTTTTCCATTAATGGATTATGTTTTTCATGCCAAGTCTAAGAACTATTTGCCTAGTCCTAGATCCCAAAGAGTTTCTGCAATTTTTTTTTTCTAAAAATGTTATAGATCTACATTTTACATTAAGTCCATGCTCCATTTTAGTTGATTTTTATATAAGGAGTGAGGTTTAATTTAAGGTTCATTCTTTTGCCTATGCCTACCCAATTGCTCCAATCCTCTGAAAAAATTGTCTTTCCTCCTCTGAGTTGCGTTTGCACCTTTGTCAAAAATCAGCTGGGCATATTTCTGTGGGTCTGTTTCTGGGTTTCTCTTTTGTTCTGTTGATCTATGTGTCTATCCTTCACCCAATACCACACAGTCTTGATTACTGTAGCTGTAAAATAAGTCTTAAAATTGGATGGATTGACTCTTCCCACTTCAATCTTCTCTTTCAAAATGTTATAGCTATTTTATCTAGTTCATTTGCTTTTCCATATAAATTTTGGAATAATCTTGTCTGTACAAAAAAACTCTTGGGAATTGCATTAATCCTGTGTTATAAATTTGGGGAGGATTAACATCTTTATTCTATTGAGGCTTCCATTCTATGAACATGATATATTTCTCCATGTGTTTAAAACTTTAATTTCTATCACCAGCATTTTGTAGTTTTCAGCATGTCTTGTGAGATTTACATTCACATGTTGCATTTTAGTTTTGAATGAGTATAAATGGAATTATATTTTTAATTTCAGTATGTTCACATGTTTATTGCTAGTATATATAAATGTAATTGATTTTTCTATATTCATTTTGTGTTAAAATTCACTTACTAGCTATGGATAAATTAGGGATACATCTGCCATTTCATTTTTTGTTTTCTGTTTGTATCATTTTCTTTTTCCTGCATTGCTGCTGGTGACCTGAACACTTTTTAGAGTTCCATTTTGATTTATTTGCAGTGTTGTTGAGTGTATCTCTTTGTATAGTTTTATAGTGGATTCTCTAGGTATTACATTTTATGTCCATTACTTATCACAGTTTGCTAGCATTATCATTTTACCAGTTTAAGTGAAGTATGGAAACTTTACCTTTCTTTATATCTCTTTATTTTCTGTCATTTATAATGTAATAATCTTAATAATTCCCCTCCCTATGTCCATTTAGCACCACACCATACAGCATTGTAGTTTTTGTTTCAACCATCAAATGAAACAGACTTGAAAAGACAAAGAAAGCCTATTGTATTTGCCCATATTTTTGCTTACCTTGTTCTTTCCTATTTTCTAATGTTCTGAGGTTCCTTTTTTATTGATTCCTTTCTGTTTGGAGAGTTTCCTTTAGTCATTCTTTTAAGATAGGTCTGCTGGCAAGAAAATCTTAGTTTTCTGTCATCTGAGAATTTCTTGATTTCTCCTTCATACCTGTAGGGTATTTTTGCTGTATATTGAATGCTAGATTGACACGTGTTTTTTTTTCAGCACTTGAGAAATGTACCATTTCCTTCTGTCCTCAATAATTTCTGATGAGATATCTGTTGTCAAGTAGATGTAGGGTGCAGTGTCACAGGGAGGCACTTGTGTCTAGGCCACAAGTTCCCTAAGTTTGAAGCTTCAGCTTCAACCAAAAAATTAATGGTTATTTTAGACTATAAGTTAGGAAATTTATCATGAAATGTAATGCAGCCTATAGTAAAGACTTAACCAATATTTTTAAACTCAAGTTTCAAAGAAAAACTAGTATTTCTCTATATTTCCCATCCAAGTACTAACCAGGCCCAACCCTGCTTAGCTTCCAAGATCAGACAAGATCAGGCTGGTTCAGGGTGGTATGGCTGTAGACGACTTCTCCCCATTTCATCAAAACCTAGAAAGGTGGAATCAGTGATAAAGAAGGAAAAATAAAATGCACAAAGTAATTTTTTGTGTCTGTTTCTTTTTAGCTCAGCGTAGAGAGAAAACTATGTCCTTGCCTCCACCCATCTCCATATCAGAAATGGAACCAAATGGCACCTTCAGCAACAAGAACTGTACAATTGCAAACTTCAAGAGAGAATTTTACCCAATCGTATACCTGATAATATTTGTCTGGGGATCTTTGGGAAATGGCCTTTCCATATATGTTTTCCTGCAGCCTTCTAAGAAGACCACGTCTGTGAACGTTTTCATGCTAAACCTGGCCATTTCGGATCTCTTGTTCATAAGCACACTTCCCTTCAGGGCTGACTATTACCTCAGAGGCTCTGATTGGATTTTTGGGGACCTGGCCTGCAGGATTATGTCTTATTCCTTGTATGTCAACATGTACAGCAGCATTTACTTCCTGACCGTGTTGAGCGTTGTGCGCTTCCTGGCAACTGTTCACCCTTTTCGGCTTCTCCATATCACCAGCATCAGGAGTGCCTGGGTCCTGTGTGGGATCATATGGATATTCATGATGGCTTCCTCAATAATGCTGCTGAAGAATGGCTCTGAGCGGAAGGGCAATGTCACATTATGTTTAGAGCTGAATCTCAATACAGTTAACAAATTGCAGATCATGAACCTGATTGCCCTGGTGGTGGGCTTCCTGCTGCCGTTATTCACGCTCAGCATCTGTTACCTGATGATCATTCGAGTCCTGTTAAAGGTGGAGGTCCCAGAATCAGGGCTGCGGGTTTCTCACAGGAAGGCGCTGACCACCATCATCATCGCCTTGATCATCTTCCTCCTGTGTTTCCTGCCCTATCACACACTAAGGACCCTCCACCTGATCTCGTGGGAAATGGGTAAATGCAAAGAAGCGCTGCATAAAGCTGTGATTGTCGCACTGGCCTTGGCGGCCGCCAACAGCTGCATCAATCCTTTGCTCTATTACTTTGCTGGGGAGAATTTTAAGGACAGACTGAAGGCTGCACTTAGAAAATATTATCCACAGAAGGCAAAGACAAAGTGCAGCTCTTCTGTTTGTCTGTGGTTGAAAAAGGAAACAAGAGTGTAAGGAGTTATTAGGTGATGCCTGTTTTTGTATCCTCCTGTCCACCGTCCACCACGCACAGTCTCCAGTAGCTTTGTATTTACACCATTGCCATCAAGGGTCAATCTCAAGATTTAATTGACCATGACTTTTGTTAATAAGACCTACTTCAAAAATTTTATTAGGTGTATTTTCAGTGATTGAGTCTTTATGAGAGAGAGAGGAGGAAAAGTCCCTACTAGAGTCTTACAGGCTGAACTGTCAGACTGGTGAAAGGAATGCAAAGATGGATCAGATCTCTGGCCCATCAGGTATTCCAAATTCTTAACTTTAAGACAGCCCAACTTCCCCGGCTTCTTCAGTTTCTCTTCCCTCTTCAATCCCCTGAGATACGGCTAACCAACAGAGCTCCTGGAGGCCCCAGAGCAGATGAGAAGCACATCCCAAGAATTCAGGAGAAGACTGTGAAGAAGAAGGCTGCTCTGGAACAAAGCAGAGTCATGGTCCCAAACAAGAACAGTGGGAGAGAGGATGGGAGATGGTTTGAGGCACCAGAGAGCTGTTGATAAGTAGGAGAAAGGAGGAATTTTATTTTGAACTGAGAGAGAGGCCCTAGCACAGTGAAAGCAAAAATGCTTCCTTTTACCTATCTCTTGCCAGCGGAGTAGGAAGGACAGGAAATGTAGGAGGAAGACCTACAGCAGTGCCCTGGGATGGAGGAATTGTGTGTGGAATAGAGGAGAAGGGGCGGTTGGTCATGGACATGTATCTCAATTTTACTTTGAGATTTAGGTTAGAACTGACTTCACCACAGTTCTCACTCTCTCCCATTGAACCATTGAAATGGGAGCCAACATAAAAGATGAGGCTTTTTGGGTTGGGTACTCAAGGAGAAGGTGGCGTGGAAGCCAAGTTGCAAAGGCTTATGTACCCCTGAAATCCTATTAACATTTTAGCAGAATATGAATAGGGGGGTGCTGCCTTCCTTTTGAGGGAATGTAGAAAAACACTAGATACATAGTCTCTCTAGTATTCCTTTCTATCCACTGAAACAAGGCTGAGAATACTATCAACCACTACCACCATGACCACTGCACTGCCAAAAGTTAGGTGCCCTCCCAATGCTGGGCAGACTGTTCCAGGCAATTTACACTCATTAATCCCATTTAACATTCACACCAAAGCTCTGAGTTTCCATTTTACAGAGGAAGACATTGGAGCTCAGAGAAATGAAGAAACTTCTTCAAGTTCACACAGCTAGTAAGAGTTTTAAAAACCTCCATGCAAAAGTGTTGTCTGGATGCTCTCCCCACTGTTACCCTTGCAAACCTCCAGGAAGATTGGTTGAAAGTCTGAATAAGAGTCCCTCTCCTCCACTGGGTACCTGCCCCTCCTCACGCTCACAAGAAAACCAAGGTTTTCTCCTTGGGGTTGTTAACCCCAGTCCAGTGGAGAGTGGAGAGGAGATGGTGTTCTGAACCTAGGAAGGGACTAAGTCCTTCTTCATATGAAACAAGAACCCCAGTACCCTTCCCTTATCCATCTAACAAAACGATGACAGACAGACTCATACCCTGTCACAGTAGGACCCTAGATGATCCTCTCATGGGGACACGGCCCCGTCTGAGAAAAAAGGCTGACAGATACACAATTGGAAATCCTCCAACACAAAATCTGGGTGTCTGTCCTATTACCCACTAGATAGTGAAGTTCACAATGCAACTAAGCCCTTTTGCTAACAGAGAGCATCTAATCAATTTGTTAGAGTCTCATTCTTAATTATGACCAGCAATCATTTGAAGAAAAGGCCCTAACATGAAAGACACCAACAAATAAATGAGAGGGTAGATACAGTCATTTTCAGCATAAAAGGTCTCAACATTTTTATCACCTTTGACTTTTATTAGAAAGTGACTGGAGGATGTGTTCCCTCAAAATAAGAGAGTAAACCGAAATAGAGGAATACTTGGCAGTTAGGAATCAAGTAATCCAACACAGGAGAAAGGTGAAGATAACTCCCAGGATGTTGGTATGTAGTAGGCTTAGAAAGCAACTCATTTGGGTTGGGGAAGGACTCTCAAAGAACTCTAGGAGGAATGAATGTCTAGGAGAAAAACAAGAAACTAATTGAGAGAGCTCTTCTCTTGGAGAGCTGTGGATGAATTAGTGACAAATACATAGAAAACTATGCAAGTGGGAAGAATGCTAGAGGGAAATAAACTGTTGTATAAAAGAGGAAATATAACCATAGTACACTACATGGCTCCGTTGTGAATAATACTGACACAGCAAATAATGTAAATACAGTAGCCTCTACCCTCATTTGCAGTTTCGCTTTCCACAGTTTCAGTTACACATGGCTAACTATGATCCAAAAATATTACATGGAAAATTTCAGAAATAAACTATTCTTAAGTTTTAAATTGCATGCCATTTTTGCATAGTGTGATGAAATCTCATGTCATCCTACTCTGTCCTGCCCAGGATGTGAATCATGCCTTTGTCCAGCATAACCATGCTGTATATACCCACCCATGAGTTATTTAGTAGCTGTCTAGATAAACAGATTGACTGTCATGGTATCACAGTGCTTGCTTTCAAGTCACCCTTATTTTACTTAATAATGGCCCCAAAGCACAAGAGTAGTGATGCTGGCAACTCAGATATGCCGAAGAGAAGCTGTAAAGTACTTCCTTTAAGTGAAAAGATGAAAGTTTTAGACTTAATAAGGAAAGAAAAAAAATCATATACTGAGGTTGCTAAGATCTATAGTAAGAATGAATCTTCTAACTATGAAATTGTGAAAAAGGAAAAAAATTTGTGCTAGTTTTGCTATTGTACTTCAAACTGCAACTGTTCTGGCCACAATGCATGATGTGCTTGATTAAGATGAAAAAGGCATGACATTTGTGGATGGAATACATGAACAAAATCATGTTCCAATTGATGGCAATTGGGTTCAGTACTGTCTGTGGTTTCAGGAATTAACTGGGGGTCTTGGAACACAGTCTCCTTGGATGGGAGGAGCTACTGTAGGGAAGTACTGTGATATAACTTTTTTTAGGAAATGAGGGGAGAGGATGTGCCTGTTTGTGGGAGAGGCATAAGAAACCTACGTTCCCATGTTCCATCACAGAAAATGCATAATAACTAAAGACGGAAAACAATGAATAGTGGAATAATGTAATTTAGCAATCTGAGGTAAATACCAAAAGAAGAAGGAAAAAGAATGAACAAGGATTACCTTGGGAGAGAAGTCAGGGGCAGGAAGGTAGGGTGGGGGACTTCTCTTTTCAAGAACTGTCTGTCTAACTTGTGAATATGTATTGTTGAAGTAAAATAAAATTTAAGTTAAAATTAAATTTTAAAAATTCAAACTAATTCTGAGTCTTTTTAAAAAATAAAGAAGTTAAGAAAGACCAGCAGAAATGGAAACTGAACACTGATGGGGCATGGAATACAGAAGCGAACGAGGCTTGGATTAGAGTCCTTAACAGAAGCCCACCCAGCCCTGCCATGGGAGGTGAGTCCTCTCTCAGGGTGAGGGGAGTCGTTTCCTGGGATCAAAGGTGGCTTGATATGTCACTTAGGATATTTTTAGTTTCAAGTAACAGTTAACCCATTTCCAAGTGGCTTACATAATAAAGGGATTTCACTATCTCATATAACTGAACTACAGCAAGGGAAGTTGGGCTTCAATCCCTGTTCAACCAGGGCTTCTTGGGATTTCCTCTCCAGGGGGTGGCTTTGCCACCTGGCTGAGTCCCTTCTTGGTAACAAGCTGATTGCAAGCAGCCTGAGGCTACATGCTTCCTTATTTGTTTCTAGGGAAAGAAACAGGGTGTCTCCTACCCAAATAACTCTCCAACCCAAATAACTCTCCTACCCAAATAACCCAAATAACTAGCTCAAGTCCTGGGCTTTCTTTTGATTGGAACTGCTCTGATCATATACCCACCCCCAAAGCAAATCAGGGAAGAAGGGAGGATGCTCAGAATCCACACCTGGAGTAGGAGATGGCGTTAAACCCACTGAATCTCAGCTGGGAGAGGGGTGAGATGGGGCTTGCAGAGGGCACCTATTCCCTGCAGATGAGACAGAGAGAGCTGCCAAACCTGCCAGGCATTTGTGCAGGGTGTGGCCACACCTGAGCAGCAGGTCCAGCAGCTTTGGAGAGTTGGGGGAAAGATGGGCTCAAGGAAGAAGGGAGAAAGCGAAATTATGAATTTCTATTGTGGAGTCATAGAGATGTTCCAATGGACATTAGAAATCTCTATAACCTTTCAAAGGTAAAATAGCCCAGACAAAGCTGGGAGTAAAAGCAACCAAGGTCTCTGGGATGACCAATAGTGGAGGGGTTGTGAGTTATTAGCGTCTCTAAGTCTAGAGGGACGTGGGGACATGGGATGTGTGTGTGTGTGTATGTGTGTGTGTGTGTGTGTGTGTGTGTGTGTGAGAGAGAGAGAGAGAGAGAGAGACAGACAGACAGACAGACAGACAGACAGACAGACAGACAGTGACAGTGACTTACTTTTCCTTTTTCCAGCCTGGGTGAAGCCTCTTCTTTGGTGAAAAATGTTGTCCTTGGGGAAGGAAACAAAATGGAAGTCTTTATTTGCCAAAGCAAAAGCCAAGAGTGTCCTGGCATTTTAGATACAGCTCTTTTTGTGTGAGAAGCTAGGTAGCTGCCCCCAAGCAAACACATACATTGTTCAACTGGGAGAAGGGATTTTTTGTTGTATAAACTTTGGTAGAATTATGATACTGGACCTGTGTTTTTGTTTTTGTTTTTCCAATGGGGACCTAAGAAACAAATGCCATTAGATTTTGTATCTAGGTTAAATGACCAATTCTCTGTTTTAGATTTAATTAAGCTGATTGGCAATTTATTCTCAAGTAGAGATGATGTTAAACTGGCCAAAAATGGGTTAGGAGGGAAGATTGGCAAGGGAGGTGGCTTTCTATGGAGAATTCATTCATTTCTACAGAGAATTCATTCATTCCAGATAAATATGTGTATAAATCTGGAATTCTAGGTGGATGGCTAGGTTAACTGTCTTCTGCTTTTCGTTGTTGCTAATGAGATGTTGGCTATCCAATGGTCATTACTTTAACAATAATAGCTAGCATTTTTTAATGCTGGGCACTTTTCCAGAAAATATGTGTGTTTTTCATGTAATAGAAGAAATTGAAAATATAATTAATCATATTTTACAGATAAGGAAACTGAGTCATAGAGAGGTAACTTGCCAAAATGTACTTGCAGATGAGAGAATCGGTGTTGAAACCCAGTTAGTACCAATCCAGAGTCCATGTTCTCATCCACCACACTTGACACCATACTTTCATCCACCACACTTGACACCATACTTTCATGCATTACACAAACTCCATCACACAAAGTGTGATGCTGCCTCATAGATCAGTTGCTTTTCATTCTGGTTTGCTGTAAGATTTTTCTTTGTCTTTTGTGTTCTGAAATATTACTATGAGGTGTTGAGTTATAGATTTTTTTCCCCCATTAACATGATTTAGATTTGGCTATGTCAAATCCATCGTTAAACCTGTGTTTTGCATTTTTCATTTCAATTGTTTTACTTTTCATTCCTAGAAATGCATTCTTTTCAAAGTGGTATAGTTGTAATTTATAATATAATTTCTTGCTCTTGTTAATCTCATCATGCCTCATCTTCATTTATTAAAATATACTTATTTTATGATCTCTGTCTAATAATTCTATCATGAAGTCTTTGGCAATCTGATCTTGCTGCCTATCATTTCTGCTGCCTCTCACCCATGGTATGTTTTGTGATTTTTTTTTTTTGACTATGGACCTCTATTCTTTGGAACTTTATCAGTGGGAAATTTTTAAAGGCTTATCTTAACTTTTTTCCAGGTTTTGCATTTATTTCTGCTAGAATTTTGAATATATTACAATTCTGAGGCCATGTTAAATTCACCACTTAATTTTTTTTAATACCACATAAGAAGTGCAAATTCTGGCCATAACTTCCCCAATAATCAGATAATCAGGTTCAAAATTTCAGATTCAAAATAATCAGATTCAAAATTCAAAATTCAATTCAAAATAATCAGATTCAAAATCTGAATAATCAGATTCAAAATTTTCAAGACAGATGTTTTTCTACCTGCACCTAATGGGACAGGGGTATCCATCCAGATAGGCAAGGTGCATTCCTGCTGCCTTCTGTATAATAGGTTGGTTTCTCACATGCTCTCATACTAAGAGTGGAGCCTATAGCATTCTAGCTTCATTCAGGGGTTATACTAGATCTTGTCCCAAAATGGTCACCATCGATTCCTCCTCTACCTTTAGGTGCATGCAGTTTTTCACATCAAAAAGTGAAATCTAATTTTCCTCCTTTTGAATGTGGGCTGGACTTAATGGCATGTTTGGCCAGTAGGATACAGCAGAAGTGATATTCTGGGACATCTATGGCTAGGTCATATGAAACCTTGTAGCTTTTGCTTGAGTCCCATGAAACTAACTCTTGAGATGTTCCCTCTTGGAACTCAGCCATCATTCTACAGGAGGACCAAGCTATCTGCAGAAGTAATGTAAAGATGCTTTGGTTGACAGCCCCACTGAGATCCCAGCCAACAGCCAGCATCAACTTCCAGGCCTGTAAGTGAGCCCTCCTTGGGCAGATGACTCCAGCCTAAGCCTCCATCTGGCTGCAAACCATGAAAGAGCTTGGTAAGAAGCTCTCCCCAAATGAGAGCTTCCCAGTTACTGCCAGTCAACCCATAGACTATGCTGATACATTGTTGATTTAGGCCATCTAGTCTTGGGGTGATTTGTTACACAAGGGGTCTTCCGTTAGACTTTCCACCTTGAGTGGGATCTAGGCTTTATTTCTAGTTTTCCTTATTCTATGATGTCATGAAAACAGCAACACAAGGTCACTGGGGTTTAGAAAATGCTCTCATGGTAAAAGTGGTTGTTGGCCCTCCCCTACTTCTCAGGGTTCACTTGTGCTTTTATTTTGTTTTTGACCTCTCTGAATTTTTTCCTCTTTATTCTGCAGTCTGCAATGCATGTAAAAATTAAGTGCATAGCTTTTTTACCAGGTCAAAATTTGAGAGAATATTTTCCTCCATATGATCAGAAATTAAAGCCTTTTGGCATCTTTGAAGGAAAGGAAATAAAGTTCTGCATTATCTGGGATTTTATTATGAATTCGGTGTGAACTTGTATCATGCTTTCCTGCTGAGAATGCCTACCTCCATTCACTCTTCAGTCCCCTCCAATCCAGCTTCTCTTTCTGACACTGCACTCAAACTGGCCTTGCCAAAGTCATAAATGACCACCATGTTGTCGAACATAATGGTCCCTTCCTTAGCCTCAATTTACATGTTGCCTTAGATACAGTTCACCACTATTTATTCTTGTAACACTTTCTTTTCTTGGGCTTTGTGACACAACAATCTCTTGGTTCTTCTCCTATAGCTCCAGCTACTCCTTCAAACAGGCTTTGATTTAAACATCTGTGCATGGTTTTTAGTCCATTCATCAATGAGGGCCATAGGCTGGATCAGTCCATTCTTTTTTTTTTTATTAATAAATATGATTTATTTAAGGAATATAAGGATAGTTCAATATAATAAAATCTATCCATATTATTCATCACATCAGTAGAGCAAAGGAAAAAAATACCGTGTTTATAAATACAAAAGGCAAAAATACATTTGGTTAAATTCAATTTTGAAAAACAGTATTTAAAAAATCTATTAATA